GTAATTAGCAGCTGGTTAATCACCAATTACTAGCTTGTTAAGGCTTAATAAGCAAATTACAAGGCTATTATGACCCCCCCCATACTAAAGTGGTAAACAGAAAGTGCAGCAAAACAAACAATAATAATTCAAGTGTTACAGTTCATGTTTTTGTCTCTTGGGAGAAACGCTACATTGCTAACTCCCACTCAGATTAGCATGTAATGAAACTCCACTCACTCACTAAAACATGTTAAAACATGACTGGAGCTTTAAAAGACTAGCAGTGCACAGCTGCAGCTTCCAGGCTTCAAATGTTCTTTTCTCCAGCCCGCGTATTAATAATTGAATGAATAAAACGAATGTTATTAAAAAGAGCACGCATTAGAGAATGTTATTCATAAAAGGGGCTAAAACCACGGGGCGCAGGGGTCATTTTGTGTTAAATAGTGCTTTGATTGATTTTCTCCATCTGCCTTTAGCAAATTTAATGTCGAAAATGCAGAAAAGGTCCTGCGACGCTGGCCATTTCAATAATAATAACTGCAAATTTTCAAGCAAAAGAGGTGCGTAAGTAGCAGTGAAAGACGGTAGAGTGAACACTAAGTGAGCAGAAGCCTCGTCGGAGATGAAGTGCTGTATTATTAACTCAAATTCACCTCCTGGTCCCCATTTTTTTCTCATTTTTATTTCTTTAGAGGAATTTAGCTCTGCGTTCTCACTGCATTCGGCTAACGTGGGGCTCGTGAGAGCGCGCTGTGCACTGAAGGGTGTTTGATGGGGATTAAAAGTGCATGAGGAGTGTAGATGAGTGTGAGTGAAGGCCTGTTTGTGGGTTTCTCTCTCAGGCTGGGCCGAGGCGTTCACTCTCCTTAATGGCCTTCTACAGAGCGCTTTAGCACGGACCATTGACTGTGTTTGTGTAATCTGTTTAGGAGTTGGATCTTCCCAAGTGGGAGCTGCCTAGAATACTAGCGAGACTGGATAAAGTTCATGCAAGGGCTGCACGATATGGACAAAGCATTGCATTGTGGTTGTACTGCTACAGCTTTATTTTTAAAATAACACCCCTTCCACCTATTAGGACTGGTTAGAAATTGTCAGCTGATGAGTGAAATAGATTCTCTGGCTCTTCAAACTTTGTCCTTACACTCAACAACCATGAGCTTCTCTAAGCTGTAGACTGATTATCTGAAAATGAAGCCTACACAGCAGGGAAAGGCTGTAGAAGTGTATGCAGGTTGCAATTCTCGATGTCCAAAATGCCGTTTACAAATGGCAATTAAAGGGAACTTGGAAGTCAAGACAAAATCTGGAAAACTTGTATGCTGGCCAGAAATGCAAAGCAAAACCCCCATATGGCAGCAAAGAACTTGTGGGAAGGTTTAGCTGGTGTTGTGGCACTGCTTGCACAAACAAGATCTACATGGATGAGTCATCAGAAGGTAACCTTATCTGGGATCTTATCAGAAACGTCAACATCTTAGGTATGAAAAACAACATCTAGGTAAGCCAGAGGCATTTTGGAAGCATGTGCTGTGGACTGATGTAGTAAAAATTGAACTATTCAGCCACAACAAAAGCACTGCCAAAAATGGCATCTTGTCAAGTGAAATGATCATAAATCTATTTGATATATCTAATATTTCCCATTTTGAGATGGCTGTGCATATAACATTATCTACATTATTTCTAGGCATTATTTATGAGTTTTAGGTAATTTTATTAAGTCAAATTTTCTCACTGTACTAGCCATTAATTTTGCTGCTTCCAAGCACATTTCTTAAAACAAGCAACCAAAATAGTGAGATAATTTTACTTAAATTTCTTAAAACAAGTAAATAACGTCTAGAAATAAGGCAAATAATCTTAAAGTAAGCTTAAAACAATCTCAACAGGAGAAATATTAGATTTATTGACTATAACATAATTTTACTTGACAAGATATCACATTTTGCGGTGAGAAAAAAGGAACAGCATTTGATGAAAGGAACTCTGTGCCAACTGTTAAGAATGGGGGTGGATCTATTATGCTTTGGGTTGTTTGGCAGCCAGTAGCATGGGAAACATTGCATAGGTAGATGGAAGGATGGATTACGTGAAATACCAGCAAATGTCATAGTTAAGAAACTGAAGCTGAAAAGAATCTGGACTAGAATCCCAAACATACTTTAAAATCCACTATAAAAAGTTTCAAGAAATGCAAGCAGAAGCTTTTGGAATGGCCCTCGCAGTCCCCTGACTCTGACAATACTGAAAGTCTGTGGCTAGATCTCAACCATGCTGTGGATACAAGAAGGACCAAGAAACGATAGACTCCTAGTGTTTGCAAGCTGTGGTAGCTACCAAAAGGGGTGTTGCTAAGTAGTGATTTAGTAGGGTGTCCAGTCTTTTGCATATAGATCCACCCCATGCTTAACAGTTGCCATGGAGATCCTTTCATCAATGGATGATGTTTTGCATACTTAAATATATAGTATAGCATTTGATGAAAGGAACTCCGTGCCAACTGTTAAGCATGGGGTGGATCTATATGCAAAAGACTGGACACCCTCCTATGTATGTATATATATATATATATATATACATATATATATATATATATATTTATACATACATTTTACATACATAATATATATATATATATATATATATATATATACATACATACATGTAAAGTAAATGCTTTAGCATTTGCAGAAAAAAGTGTTTTTTAACCACCCATTTTATCTTCAGAGGTCATGTTTCTTCTTTTTACTTCAAAAATCAATAAAATATGCAATTTGTCAGTGATGTTCAAACTTTTGCATACAACTGTATACATCAAAAATACAATATGCCTTGTTTATGTAAACACAGGGCAGATTTTTCACCTGTCGATACAGAATGTAAATGTGAATGTAATTGCTTAACTAGTTAAATATGTAATTAAGCAGCAACATAGAAAATGTTACTTAATTTTAAGTTTATATGGGTCACGTTTTCTCTTAAAACACTTGTTTTCATATTTTTCTGTTCAGCATCGTCTGACGGTCACATTAAGCTAACTACAGTGAACATAGGCAGAAGCTGACTGACAGCGGCGATATTTGTGATTGTGAGCAAATCATAAAGGTAATGTAGTGTAAACAGTGTAAACCAAAACTCTCTGTGAAAATATGGATCACCTAAAATGACAAATCCATCAACATAGGCATGTTTTCCAGTTGCTTTAACTACCATTCCACTGGCAATCATGCTCACAGAGCCCCCTGGTGGCCAAAGCCCAATAAAGCTCATTGGGTTAATACAGCATGAACAGATCCAAGCCACTGATCTTCTTCTGAAAAGCAGAGGATAATCCTTTGTGCCAGCTATGATGGGGAATAACTGCATCTCCTCAAACATCCAGCAGCCACATACTGGCCACAGATTGGACAAGGGCCTTCAGCAAATATAACTCCCTGCTAGCAGGATCCACACACAGTAATCCGAAGGTCAGGAACCATTGGAGGCCTTTAAGGACTAGATTTGAAGGCCATGGACCCAGTAATGTTAACAGGTTTGCCTTGATTCTTCCCTTGACATCAATATAGTTGCTTTGTCCTGTGTTGAATTAGCAGGCTTGGCTGCGCCCCAATCCACACATATACGTATAACCTGCCATCTACAGTGGGCACAAAAACACAGCTTGACTGGGTTGAACATAACTTGATGAGCTGAAACAGCGGCTTTGTGCTCCACTGAATTAGCAGTCCACTGCAGTTGAGTGTCGGCAGCATTCCAATCCACACTAATTGGTCCCACCTGCTAACTGCTAACTACACAGGGAACAAAAACACAGCGTGGAGGTTAAAAGTCCTGTGGGGAGGTCTGCATCCTGTGACAGGTGTGCCTCAATTCCTCAGAGGTTCTACGCTCCATTGCATTAGCAGGTCCCAGTGTCAGCTGCGTCCCAATCCACACAAACCCTTCCTGCTGTCTGCTGTCTAAAGAGCAGAAACGAGCTTTGATTAGGCTGAAACGGTGGCTTTGTCCCCCACTGAATCAGTAGTTTAGAGCCTCGGCTGTGTCCCAATCCACACAGTTGGCCACACTGTGCTGCCTTGATGCCTTCAAACACAGCCTAATTGGGCTGTACGCATGGGAGAGGGTGGTTAGAGGTCACTGCAGACTTAATTCCCCCCTTGTAATGGACACAGGGGTCTTTTGTTCTCCATTACTTCAACAGGCCCCCGCAGTTCAGTGTTGGCTGCATCCCAATCCACACAAATCTGCTACCTGCTATCTACAGAGGGCGCAAAAGCACAGCTTGAGTGGGAAGGGAGAGTGAGGGTCACTGTCTGTGTCCTGCGACAGGTTTGCCTTGATTTGCTCAGAGGCTATTTGCTCCATTGCACTAGCAGGCCCCAGGATTGGCTGCGTCCCAATCCACACAAAACCTCACTAGATGGCTTGAAACACAGCCTAATTGGGCTCAATGGATGAGCGAGGGTGGTTAACGGTCACAGCAGACTTGATCCCTCCATTGACATGGATGCAGGGATCTTTTGTCCTCCCCTGCATGCGTAGGCTCTTGCAGTGTAGTGTCGGCTGCGTCCCAATCTACACAAACTCTGCTTTCTGTCTGATATCTACAAGTGGCTCTCTGATTGGGCTGAAACAGTGGCTCCGTCCTGCACTGAATTAGCAGTTCAGAGCCTTGGCTGTGTCCCAATCCACACAACTGGGCCTACCTGCTACCCATAAATGCCTTGAAACACAGCCTAATTGGGCCAAATGCGTGGGGGAGGGGGGTTAAAGGTCACTGCAGACTTGATTCTTTCGTTGTCATGGATACAGGGGTCTTTTATCCTCCATTACATTAGCAGGCCATTGCAGTTCAGTGTCGGCTGTGTCCCCATCCACACAAATCTGCTACCTGCTATCTACAGAGGGCACAAAAGCACAGCTTGAGTGGGCAGGGAGGGTGAAGGTCGCTGCCTGTGTCCTGCAGGTTTTGGCCGGACTCCTTCCCCCTCCTACTTGACTGCAGAGTCAGTCGGCGAGGGGTTAGGAGGCTGAAGATCACAGAGGTCATATGAAGTACTCTTTCCTGCTGTCCCTGATGGAGCTGTGCAGGCTGAGCTGTGTGCGGTAGTTAAGCTCCGGCTGAGATGGGTGGTCTTTCTCCTTCACTGAGGGGGTCTGCTGGGAGCGCTGGAGCCTGTAGCGGTACAGGAAACGCAGCATGACTGCCAAAACGGAGAGCGCGACGAGGACCAGGGCGGCTATTAAACCTGGAGAGACAGAGAAAGAGAGAGAGGGAGAGAGAGGTAGAGTAAATGAGGGAATGTGATTTAATTCAAAGAGACACTTCTTAAACATTGTGGTTTTGATGATGCTTTGAAAAATCTAGTAGAAATGGGTAAAACTTTAAGGAACGCATGTTGTCAGGCCTTTTCTGTTATAACATCCCATTCTAAATCCATAGGCATTAATATGGAGTTGGTCCCCCTTTGCAGCTCTAACAGCTTCCACTCTTCTGGGAAGCTTCTACAAGATGTTGGAGAGTCTGTGGGAATTTGTGCCCGTTCATCCAGAAGAGCATCTGTGAGGTCAGACACTGATGTTGGACGAGAGGGTCTGGCTCACAATCTTTGTTCTAATCCATCCCAAAGGTGTCTGATGGGGTTGAGGTCAGGGCTCTGTGAGGGCCAGTCAAGTTATTCCACACCAAACTCACCCAGCCAGGCCTTTATGGAGCTGCTTTGGTCACTGGGGCTCAGTCATGCTGGAACAGGAAAGGTTCTTCCCCAAACTGTTCCACAAAGTTGGAAGTGTACAATTGTCCAAAATGTCTTGGTGCTGAAGCATTAAGATTTCCATTCACTGGAACTAAGGGTTCTAGACCAACCCCTGAAAAACAGCCCCATATCATCATCCCTCCTCCATCAAACTTTACAGCTGCCACAGTGCAGTCAGGCAGGTAACGTTCTCCTTGCATGCATTTATAAATTAAAGGGGAATTCCATGTTTTTTATGCTGATAAATAGATTCTACAGAGCTATAATTGCTGTCTGATGTCTGGACCATTGTTTTACGACATGTTTGAGGAGATTCTGACCCTAAAACCCATTCAAACTCAAGACAAAATAGTCCCCAAAGAAAACTTATTATTTCAGATTTTCCACTATTTTCCATCATCAACATTCCATATAAACTCCGAAGACTCGTGTAGGTTCACTGGTGGTTCTGGATAGTAAATAAAATGTCTATATTTGTGTTGTAGTCATGGCGACCCCTGGTTCCTATCACCACCACTGTAAAGGCATCTGAACCATTTCACACCAAACCGCTCTGAATGGCAAACGCTTAATTACGCAGGAATTTTGAAAAAGCTGCAAATGTGGCTAATTGGTTCGTTCAGGGATGGGACTACTTTTTCAGAGGGAAGAATTTGTTGTAGCTCGTTACCACGGTAACGCTAACGAGTTTTCGCAAGTTGATTGCCATGAATACCAGGAAACATTAAAGAAAGTGAAAATAACTGAAGCTGCTTTTTCACCGTGTTGCATCAATGTTGATGTTACATAAAACTTCATAAGTACAGTTTTGATAAGACTCTCTCATCATAACAGCTGGACTGTTAAGGTGGAACAGCTGGAGTTTGGAATTTTGACTTAAATAGACACTTATTTTCATCAGAATTGAGCAGCTGCCCATTCACGTCCATTACAAACGAGTTTTGAGTCAAAGGGTTTTCTCGTTTCTGAGTTCAGGTAAACGTTTTGAAATTATTGTCTATGGTACTCGACCGTCCACTCCAGATGCAGCAGACAGAGGTTTACAATGAAAGATGTTAAATTACCCCTTTAAGCTGCTTTTCCGAGCTCTTGGATTTGTTTTCTGAGCGTTTCTAGGAAGGAAAGCATGATGAAAGGAAAAAGGGACAAAGGCGTTTACCTCCAATTACAGCCGAGTCGCTCTGCTCGGAATTCTTCAGGCGCTCCTTTCCTCTGTTCTCTCCGTCCGTGTGGTCTGGGGGAGAGAGAGGGAGAGAGAGAGAGAGAGAGGATGAGGGATGATTAAAGGAAAGGAAATGGCAGGAGGTCAGGAGGACATAAATGGTGGGAACGCACAACCCATTAAAACGGTCATATCGAACATGGCTGTGACCCAAACTCCCCGAAGAGCCATCTGCACCAACGTGCAGTAGTGCTCCAACAGCACAGCATCATTTAGACCAGGATTAAAGTGATAGTTCTGCAGGAAGATAACGTGCTCATTTAAACAGAGTCCTAGATAATTAAATCAAGAGATCAAGAGAGTCAGAACTGTTCACAGTGGTGGTGATAGGAACCAGACGTCCACCTCTAAAAGCTCCCTCACAGAAAGTTCCTACATGAAATGGTTATGAATTCACTGCCTGATGACTGAGACGCTGTTTTATGATAGACAGGAATGGAGTTTAAAAACTCCAGCAGCACTGCTGTGTCTGATCCACTCACACCAGCACAACACACACTAACACACCACCACCACGTCAGTGTCACTGCAGTGCTGAGAATGATCCACCACCCAAATAATATCTGCTCTGTGAGGGTCCATGGGGGTCCTGACCACTGAAGAACAGGGTAAAAGGGGGCTAACAAAGTATCAGAGAAACAGATGGACTACAGTCTGTAACTGTAGAACTACAAAGTGCACCTATATAGTAAGTGGAGCTGATAAAATGGACAATGAGCGTAGAAACAAGGAGGTGGTCATGATGTTATGCCTGATCGGTGTACAGAGATACAGTGTAAATAATTGAACACATCCTCTACAGAGACACACTTCTGCACATTTTAATGCACAATTGCTGTTTATTTGTTGAGTTTAACATACTAAAATGTTGGCTGTACAAAAGGTACTGCATGTTTTGCATTTTTATATTTTTTCCTAATATGTTAAACTCAAATTAATAAAACCTGTGCACTAAAATTAGCAGAACAACATCGTATGTTCCCTTCAGAGGATGCGTTAACTGATTTACACCTAGAAAATCAACAACACGTAATTAGACTGGGGTGGACAAACTTCTCCATACGACTGCATGCCTAGCCAAACACCTTTAGCTCGTGGTCTTACAGGGTTAATGATCAGCCTGTATGAGAATGTGTAGCTGCTAAAACACAGTTATATTTGGCCACTTGCTTCTGCTTGTTATGGCACTGCTCGGATTCTCAGTCCTACGTGGGTGGACGCCGAGGTCAGAGCAGATTGTGAAGTTACAGTCTTCTGCAGACACAGTGAAGACTGAAGTTGTCAGCAAGTAAGCAAGTGTTTCACAGACTGTAATCTGGTCCCATCAAAGCAGTTTACCGAGGAGCTGAGACACCAGCCTGGTTTTTAGGCCATGAGGCGCCCCATATTTGATTTTTTGGAACATAAGAACGTTTCAAATGTTAAATCTTCAACCAGATGCTACCCAGAAACCCAGAAGACAGCGAGTCCTTCTTCCAATTGTCCTGCCAATTCATGCTCCCTCATTTTCAATAAAACTAATGAACACTTACTGGCCACTTTACCAGAAACCCCTCTCTTGTAGCTCCACCTTGCTTGTGTACCGTTAGAGACTCATTAACCATAGCTCCTCTGTTGACGCTCATTTTTATCCTCTAGCTTCTGACCACAGAACTCATAAAGTGGCCAGTTAGTGGGAGCACAATGCTAGGGTTTCTAATAAAGTGGCCGATTAGTAGATGTACAAGGTGGGTGTTGTCTAATAAAGTGGCCAGTTAGTGGAAGCACAAGGTGGGTGTTTCTAATAAAGTGGCCAGTTAGTGGAAGCCCAAGATGGGTGTTTCTAATAAAGTGGCCAGTTAGTGGAAGCACAAGGTAGTTGTTTCTAATAAAGTGGCCAGTTAGTGGAAGCACAAGGTAGGTGTTTCTAATAAAGTGGCCAGTTAGTGGAAGCACAAGATGGGTGTTTCTAATAAAGTGGCCAGTGAGTGGAAACACAAGGTAGGTGTTTCTAATAAAGTGGCCACTTTTAAAGACATATTTTGATTGCTTTTTTGAATCATTTTATCTGTAAATGAGTCAGTGTTTAGTAACTGGAGCTCACCTGATAGTGAGCGGGAGGAGGATTTATCCGCCAGCTCTCCACAGTTGGACTCCACCAGATTGCCGAGCACGCTGACCAGTGAGCTTCCCCTGTTCAGTATAGCAGCTTTCAGAGGAGCCAGGTGATTAAACTGGACGGATGACAGGCACCCAATGAAACCTCTCGATCCAGCCTGGAGCACCTCCTCGTCCACGCCTGCTCGACCTGGAAATGAAAGAGACAAAACAATCTATTTCATCTTTGGGTCTGTATGTGGGTCCACTTTTCAATTTCTATGTCTCATAATAACAAAACTGGATTGTACATAGTAATTACATAGCAGTTACATAGTAGTTACTGAGTAATAAGTATTAAGCTGTATAACTGAACAATATACTTGGATTTTAAGAGGTTAAACCAATAGATATTCTTAAAGCTGTACTCAAGTTTGGGTTCAAATTTCATACAACAGCTTATTGCAGCTGAATTAGACTAAAGAGAGCATAAAGTGATAACGATGAACAATTATTAATATTAATCAACGTATTGTGAGTTCATGCAGGCTCTTTGTCACATTAAAATGCCAAATACCTGAATTAGCCCACTTCCTACCTGTGACTTTGCCCAATGTCAACGACCTGATCATGTTTAGCTCTCTATCTGTAGAGAGTCTGTATTTCTGGTTGATGTCCTTGTCCACCTGAGAAAAGAGAAAGGCTAATAAATTCTTCAAGCAGTCCACAGAGAAACACAGCACATGTTATTCTTATTACATTGGAAACTGATTCATAATCTGAGATTAAAGCAATGTGATGCGGGACATGCTACTATCTAAAAAGCCTGAATTTTATCGAAGCTCAAGTCTGTGTTTATACATAACTGTGTATCATACAGTGTCAGAAACTGCATAATCAAGTCTTGTGATGATTTACGTATGATGCTAATTGGTGGGGTAAAGGCATCCATTACATGTTAGCTACATTAGCCTTATAGCTCAAGTACATACCTAAAAAGCAAACCTCAGACACTAAAGATGCCCCGGCTTATTAATCACATTTGTAGAAATAAAGGTGCTAAACTGTCTCTGGGTCAGTGCCCCTCTTGTCACTGGGGTGGAACCCTCAAGGCTCCATCTCAGTCCCTTTAGTCAGGGAACATAACTGAACCATAATCCACTGAAATCATATGTTCTAAGCTGTACTGACTCCACACACCCCGTCTCGTCTCCAGGCTTTTATTTTACTGTTCTGTTTAAAACATTCCGTTATAAAAAGGTACAAATACAAACTTTTCACCTGGAAAAACTTATTTAAGGTTCACAATCAGACCTTAAAACCACTGTAGAACCTCTGAGGTAACATTTACACTGTTTGTACCTTGATGAACGAAAAATGTACCTGAAGAGAACCTTTATTTCTAACAGTGTAACGGTTTTCCATGTCTACATCCATTTCTGTGGTTATGCTACACCTGTTTTTGCAGTTACGGTGGTTGTGGTTACACCCATTCCATCGGAAAACCCAAGCCAGCGCCACCATAGAATGTGGCCCACAGTGTTATTATTGTTACACGACACCCATTTTATGGTAATTTACAAATTTCTGTGGTTCTGTTAGAGGATACATGTTCTGAGAGGATAAAACGGAAAGGTAAAGTACTCAAGTGAGTCACAGACTTAGCGGCCTCCCTTTCTTCAGCCTTTCCTAGTCAATAGCAGTGCAGGCAGGTATGCTGTTGAGGTCTATCAGCACACCTGCCGTTTGTATCTGCTCAGATAATCAGTGTTTTTACTCAGAAAGCTACACTGAGTCCTGCGCACAGTGTGCTAATCTATACTGGCGCTCACTCAACGCTCGCAGAATGCAGTGTGTGTTAAAATCTCCCTCACTGAGCTCCAGAGATCGAGGAGACGCTGAAACACGCCGTCATTCACGCGCAGAGCCGAGCTTATTACACACAGCAATTTAGTGGGAAAGCGATCCGTCCTTAAATCGCCTGGAAGAAACGCGGCGCTGAGCTGCATAAAACACACACCGCCTTCACCAAACTCACTCTGAATTATTCCGTTAGAGAAAGCCCCGCACGCTCCCTGAGTGTCCTAAGGAAACTCACCAATGTGCCTTGCAAAAATATGTTCACGGATTCCCAAACAACGGTTCTGACGCTCTTATGGATTTTCAGGCAAGTTAATATTCATCAGGAGTCACAGTTTCCACTGTGGACTCACTGTTCAGCCGTCCAGGAGAAACAGTTACAACCTGGACTCAGTGACAAAAATCTGAAACAGAACTGTACAACGGATATCAGGAGCAGTTGGCTACACCCGTTTCCATGGTTACGCTACACATCTTTCCATGATTAAGCTAGCTTCTTTCAACATCATATTTTTATTGTCACACTACACCGATCCCATGATCACACTGATTTATACTACACCCATGTCTGTGGTTATGCTACACCCAGTTCTGCCACCGTGTTACACTCATTTTCATAGTTATGCTACATCCATTTATGTGGTTATGCTACATCAATTTCTATGGTTATCTTACACCCACTTATATGGTTATGTTTCACTCTTTTCCTTGGTTATACTACACTTATATTCATGGTTGTGTTACAGCCATTAATATGGTTACGCTACACCCATTTCCATCGTTACGCTACACCCATTTCCATGGTTATGCTACACCCATTTCCATGGTTACGCTACACCCATTTCCATCGTTACGCTACACCCATTTCCATGGTTATGCTACACCCATTTCCATGGTTATGCTACACCCATTTCCATGGTTATCTTACACCCACTTATATGGTTATGGTACACTCATTTCTATGGTTATGCTACACCCATTTCCATGGTTACGCTACACCCATTTCCATGGTTATCTTACACCCATTTATATGGGTATGGTACACTCATTTCCATGGGTATGCTACACCTATTTCCATGGTTACGCTACACCCATTTCCATGGTTACACTACACCCATTTCCATTGTTATTCGACACTCATTTCCATGGTTATGCTACACCCATTTCTGTGGCTATGCTATGCCCATTTCTGCTTCACTCATTTTTATAGTTAGGTTACTCTCTTTTATATCATTACGCTACAACTGTATTCATGGTCACTCTACACTCAGGTCTGTCATTATGCTTCATGCATTTTCAAGGTAATTTTCAAAGCTGTATCTGTTTTTGTCTTCATTCTACCCCTTTTCCGTGCTTACACATGGAAAAACCCACACATATGCTACACACAGTCAGCATACGTTATCACCCTGCTCAGACAGCACTGGCTATCCAGAGCCGCTGTCTGTGACTCTTCACACAAAACCAAATAATAATCGAATAAAGTAAGTCTGAATGTGAAGCTCCTCCATAGTTGAGATTGTTATCTGTGTTCATTACCACCAAAAAACTTTCAAAGAACTTTTACTGTTCTACTGTGTGAAGGGAAATGGACCCAGATGCTGTTAGTTCTGGATCTGGAACAGTAACCGCACTGTGCCGTACCCCGCCATCTAGTGGACAATCACCTCGTGCCTGAGTGTACAGGTGAATGAATGGTCAAGTAAGCGAATGGATGAAAAAGCCAGACGGATGGGTGGTGGTCTTACCTGCACGTACATGTCCCTCCCCTCTCGGTGCAACTGTATCCTGTGGAGCTTCCCATTGGCCAGGCTGTGCTGAGTGGGCGTGAACACGTCCGGCTGCTTCTCTCTGTTCAGTTTGTACCAAATCTGCAGACTCCCTGCCAGACACAGCGGAGAGGCCGTCATCACACAAAAGAGAGGCGAGAACGAGTCGTAGTCGCGGCTCCCGCTGCTCGCTGACACGTGCTGACAGGCTCTTCTCTGGCGCTCCTGATCAAAATAATTGCTCCCTTGACCGAGCGTCTCTGTTCACCACTCACAAACATGCCACTTCCTCTCCCCTCTAATCACCGCAGACTGTCTACACTCTGCTAATCAACACATCAGCCTTGACGAAGAACACACGTACGCAGACGCCCCGACAGCAAGCCTGTCGCTCCACACGCCCCACAGCTACACTGTGACGCTACGCATTCAGACGCTACTTAATTTTCAACTTCACTGACTTTATTCTGGGTGCCAGACTCCTCACTGTAACCCTGACTGGTAGAGTGACGTTGATTAATTAAAAGATACACAAACAAGCAATTAAATACCTAACGAATAAAAAAAACTGAGACACAATACACTTTAATATCACTTGGTTAGCAAAAGACGTCAATTATACATAAATACCATCGAGTTAGCTGGCTAGTTAGTAACTTAGCTGGCTAGCCAGCTGACTAGCTAATTGGTATTGATTAAACAACTAACTGGCAATAAAATAATCACAGAAAAGTGACTAATTAATATCCATTAATTACTATTATTTGACTCGTACAATACTTCAGAGACCAACTACGTAAGCTGGCTGGCTGGCTGGGTAAGTGACTAATATAGTTAGCTAGCCAATCAGCTGACTAGCTATTTGCTATTTATTTAACAACTAAATAAAAGATAAATACAATAAACATAAAATAACTGTAAAATAGACTAAGTAAGCAACTTAAGTAGGTACTTTGCCTGCTAGAAAGTTATTTATTTAGCATCTACCTAGCTTGCTAACTAAAGAAAGGAAGAAAGAAAGAAAAGTAAACAAATTAGCTACACCCTTAGCTTCATTGTTCTTTAGTGAAGGCAACACTGACCATTTAAAGGAAAGAACCAGTTCAATGTTCAAATGGTTCTTCACATGTTTAAACGAAAAACAATTTATGTTAAGAGGCATCAAAATGGGTTCCACAGTTGTTGTAAGTCAAAGAACCTCTTTTTTGGCACCATATGCAACACTTTTTACTTTTGGTGTAGACTAACTAGATACTGTTGCGAGTGCTTGAATAAATGCTAACTTGCTAGCTAGCTAAACTACATTCTTAGCAAAAAGGGAACTAGTACTAAAAGTGTTCTTAGACTTATTTTGCTATATAGAATATATATTAATATAGAATGGTTCTTCTGGGGAAGGTGTTGTATAAGGTTCTGTAAAGAACCTTCAAAAAAGGGTCTAAATTGCACCAAAAAGTTTCAACTATTGCTAAAATCCTTTTTTGGGACTACATAGATCTCTAAGAGTGTAGGTTAGCTAGCAAGCTAGTTAATTTAAGAAATAGAAAAGCTAGCTAGCTTATATATAGCACATGTATTTACTAGCAACCACCTGGGAGAACCTAACAACACATTAGTAACCATATGAGACGGAGATTCCATAACAACAACCTGGCAAAATCTAAGCAACCATCTCAAATACCTTAGCAACTTCTGAGCAACACCCTTGTTACCACCTATCAACACATTAGCACCTACCTGGAATACCTTACCAGCACTTTAGCAACCACCTGGGATAACAACACTTTAGCAATGACAAAAAAATGCTACAGCAACGACTTAGAACCTTGTTTTGTGACTACATAGGTCACTTTTGCTAAGAGTGTAGTTTAGCTAGCAAGCTAGTTGATCTAAGAAATAGGAAAGCTAGCTACGTGGTTTAACTGACAAAAAGGAGCAGATTTATATAACAAAACGTTTCCATGACAGTAGCAGAACTCTTTTTGGTGCTTTGTAGAACCGTCTATATTTCATAATAGTAGAACCATTTAAATAAGGCAAAGAACCATTCGCGCATGGAGTATTCATACACTCCTGGGCAAAGAAAGGGCAAAACATTAAGCTTTTAATGTCTTAACAACAAATCATTCAATAAGATAAAGTAACTTTGATTTCTTTACATTTTGTGTGTAAATTTGCAGACAGACTTTTACAGAAAGAAGAGTCAGTATTGATCCACTCGACATTGACGGATTCAAACAGCTGGAAAACTGAGATCGTTTGCGTTTAATTGTTTGAAGACCAAACATTCTTTATATATGGTTTAAATCAGGACTCTGACCAGCCAAAACCATCAATTGAAACCACTATATTTTGGCCTTGGCCCGTTTGTTTTGTCCAGGAGTGTAGTTTTATACATAGTCATTGCCTTTGCATTAAGAACTGTTGAAGAACTTTTATTCAGGATGGAAAAAAAACAAATGAAAAAAGCTGAGTGATGTTTACCGTTGTGGGCCAGAATGATGGCCATGTACTGCTGATGGTAGGTGGTGACGGTCATCAGCATGGCCGGTGCCTTCGTGGTGAGGAAGCGGAAGGCCACGTTCTCTCGGGACTTGCTGCTCTGGGCGTAGATGGCCGACGACTGCCTGCTCTTGTTGCGCATCACAGAGAACGGCTCCTGGAAGGTGTAGGTCACCGACGTGCCGCTCTCAAAAGATACAGACACTTCTGGAAGTGGAGGAAAGAGAGTGGAGGCAGGTGAGAACATCTCATCTTTCTCCTGTTAGCACAGTCTCTTTTTAAAGTGATCTGGAGTTTCTGGCAAAATCTGTAAACAGTCCACCTATTTCCATGGTTACAGCAGAAATGTTTATGTTACGGGCGACATCCATTTCTGTTGTTGTTCAACACCCATTTCCATGGTTATTATACATCCATTTCCATTGTGGCTCCACACCCATTTCCATGGTTACTCTACACCCATTTCCATAGTTACTCTACACCCATGTTCACGTTTAGTCTACACCTACTTCCTTTGTTATTCTACACCCATTTCCATGGTTACCCTACACTCATTTCCATAGTTACTCTACACCCATGTTCATGTTTAGTCTACACCTACTTCCTTTGTTATTCTACACCCATTTGCGTGGTTATTCTACACCCGTTTCCATGGTTACTCAACACCAATTTCCATGGTTACTCTACACCAATTTCCATGGATACTCTACACCTATTTCCATTGTTATTCTACATCCATTTCCATGGTTACTCTACACCAATTTCCATGGTTACTCTACACCAATTTCCATGGATACTCTACACCCATTTCTATGGTTACTCTATACCAATTTCCCAAGTTACTACACCCATGTCCATTCTCGCTCTACACCATTTTCTACGGTTACTCTACACTCATTTCCAATGGTTGCTTTACAACCATTGCCATGGTTACTCTACACCCATTTCTATTGTTATTCTGCACCTATTTCCATGGTTGCTCTACACCCATTTCCATGGTTACTCTGCACCTATTTCCATGGTTGCTCTACACCCATTTCCATGGATACCATATCCTGAAAAGATGCCTTGTGTTTATGCTTCATACCTCTTTGTGGTTATATTCCATTTATGGTTACACTAAACCCCTTTTTTCAAAAAACTATCAAGAACAATTAGTTGCCATATAGGTTAAAATAAAGAAAATAATATTTTTTTATGTGCATGTTGGGGGGGGCATGGGTCTCAACTACTCCACCCAGCAGCTTCTGAAACCAAAACTACACCCTTGCTTATCAGCACACCACTGGGACAAAATAGAGAGCAAGTCCCAAATAAAGCCAGACAGAATTTATAAGACCCACATCCTACATTTGTCTTGTATTTTATTTTTCCCCCCTGAGATCCACTTATAAAGTTTGTGTAGTGTTATATACCAACAACAGTCATAATTCATTTTTACTTGACCTCACTTTATGGCTTAGCACTAAACAGGCTGTTTATGGCGCTCTGTTCTGATTACGCTGTTGTGTTTCCTTCAAAAGCAGTCTGATTTAGTCACTGTAGATCATCACAGCCGTGATGTTATTCGCGATAACACAGGACCTTGAGTGTTCTGTTGCTTTTATACAACAGTTAAATAAATAAAGTAATAAATTAATAAACTGGGCCGTGAATGCGGCGTTTAATATGTTTTAATGTTCGCAGTTCCTTCACCAAATTATAGTTGCTTAACGATCAGCTTGTTGCTACGTCAGAGTAATGAACTCCGCCCACTCGCTGCACAGTTTGCTGTAAGCCTCACCTTTTGAAGTACAGACTGAGCCATAAAACTGCCGCAATATCAAGTTCAGCTCAGTTTTGTCAGTTTTTGCCAGATCAGTATTAATGTTGTTTTGTTCCAGCCAGTCTGTAAAGCATCTTACAGCCCATTTAGTTTGGCGAATGGTGTTGGGTTCATTTCTGGCTGATTCCAGGTTGTTTAGCTGTTCTTCTGCCACAGCTGCCAACTGAAAAGCTGCTCAGTGGTGATGACAGTTTGGGAATTTAGTGTCGTTTCATCTTCAGAGTCTGACCAAATTGGCTGTCGGTCAAATGTGATCTTAAAAGTGTCCATTTTCTGTTTGTGGCAGAGTAGGAAGTAAAAACGTTCAAATGGCTTGAGCGTCTCCTACAGCTGTCAGAGTCGTTGCTTAGCAGCTGGTGTGGCCAGAACTAACTGTAGAATTGGCAGATATTATGTAAACGAATTGGTTTTCGTGACATCACAAAAACAATGAATTTGAAATGGGCTGTTTTTGCAGCTTGGTTGGATGTATGGTCTTAGAAATAAATGGTATGTTTTGAAGAGCCATTTTTTAAGGAAGAAGTGTCTTTCTATGATTTGGGCTCTTTAAACACATGCTAAATTATTCCAGGCAGGCGCTGGATGCTTTTCTCACATCACCAAATTCATTCACTCATTACATTAGGAGAACTGAAAGTGCAGGCCTCTAGGGCCCAATAAAGAGGAGCTGAAAGCACAGTCACTGTCTGATTAAGGAGGTTTGAGTGGCACAGAGGCCTGACATATCACAGAGTACACACAGATAAGGCTGCCCTGATGGCAATGTAGCACAATGACATGATAGACAGTGAAATTCCACAGGGACCAGTGAGGTCACAACCTTCTGGGGGAAAGTTGTGCTTAAAGTAAAAGATGCCTCATTTAGACAGAGGGAAAGAAGGTAAGGACTGGAGAGATGGAAGGAGAGAGAGAGAAAGGATAGACGACTAATAATACTGCTTTTCCTTTTCAAATTATTATTATTCCACACTGGAATCTGTCAATGCTACACTTACAGCTTGTGTGATAGAACCACTGAACTTTGTAAGACCTAGGTATGACACCTAGTAACATCTTAGCAACCACTTAACAATACCCTAGCAACCATCTTGAATACCTTTGCAACAACTTACCAGTCACATTGGATAACAACACCCTAGCAATGACAAAAAACGCTACAGCAACCACCTGGTAACATCTTAGCAACCACTAAGGAACACCATAGTAACCACCTAGCAATACCCTAGCAACGACCTAGCAACCACCAGGAATACCTTACCAACCCCTTACCAAGCACTTTGGATAACAACATCCTAGCAATAACCAAAACCACTACAGCAACTACCTGGTAACATCTTAGCAACCACCTTGGATACCTTAGCAACCACTAAGGAACACTATAGTTGCCATCTAACAATACCCTAGCAACAACCTAGCAACCATCTTGAATACCTTTGCAACACCTTACTAATCACTTGGGATAACAACACCCTGGCAATGACCAAAATTGCTATAGCAACCACCTAGTAACATCTTAGCAACCACCTTGGATACCTTGGCAACCACTAAGGAACACCATAGTTTCCATCTAACAATACCCTAGCAACAACCTAGCTACCATCTTGAATACCTTTGCAACACCTTACCAGTCACTTGGGATAACAACACCCCTAACAATGACAAAAAACACTACAGCAACCACCTGGTAACATCTTAGCAACCTCCTTGGAAACTTCAGCAACTATTTAGGAATACCATAGTAACCACTTAGCAATACCCTAGCAACAACCTACTAACCATCTAAGGACCACCTGGAAATGCACCATATCAACCATGAGATAAAACAGCAACCTTCTACTTACAGCTGCAACCATATGGAATACCACAGCAACCACCAAGGAAACCATATCATTGATTACTGTTAACAATCTGATTAAGGGTGTCAACATTGTAAACGCTTTGAAACTCTCCAATCCGTCTTCAGAAACTTCAAAAATAGCCCATTTTTAATTAATTGTGTTTGCGATTCCACAAAAAACATGACACATTTAAATATTTCCATCTGTTCAACCTACAGCATTTTAGCCCCACCCATTCACACCAAGGAACAATGTAGGCCAGCCAATCAGAACACAGCTTATTTGCATATATCAGTCTTTAAGAGGTAGTAACAAAAGTGGCCTGTTTAATCAGGATAACGAGAGGTTGGAAAATGCTCAGGTGATAATAAACCTTGGCTTGTTTAAGCACACAAGCGTTTCAAGTGGACCTCAGGGTAAAAAAAACTGAAATAAAATGTAGAGAAAGTAGAATATGGGCCGTTCAAAATCCAGGTCACCCACCTGACATTTCAGAACAGACACTTTAAATTCCATACATGCTGTATGATCTAAGTGTTTCTGTACGGTGGATGTGTGGAATTCAAGCCATTTGTCATGTGTAATGAAAAAAAATGTGAACACTGCTGTAGCGTTTCAGATGCTACAGAGGGGATTAAAGGTATCTAATGGCAAAGGACAGAGGAGAGATAAAAAACTGGTGCTCTTACACTGTAAATGATATTTTGATAAGTGAAAGCATCTCAAAAGTAGGAAATATAACCAAAATTTTTGATATTATTGTCCCGGTTTCCATGCCTCCTTTTTAGAACTGCTTTTAGGTCAGTGTTTTTTATGTGTGCATTGTTCATCTTAGTGTATGTAAAGCATTCAGAGCTCACTGACAGCTTATTGGTCGAAATCTGTAGTAATTATTATGTAATAAGCAGTTTATGACTATGTCATTACATAGTCATTAATGTGAAAAACCTTAGTAGGGCTGTAATAAGTGTTCTTTTAGTCTGTGGGAAAAAAATAGTGTAAATATTTATGTACAACCACATGGATTTCAATCTGAATTTGCAAACAAAGCCAACTACAGTCAACAGAGATGAAAGTAAAGCTCTTTTTGATATCTTTGCAGTTCCACTTCATTGCTCTGTAATAACAGTGTTCAAATAGATATACTCGAACGATTTGATTAACATGAGATCATATCAGCCCAATGTAATTTCACTAAACCTCTTAAAGGCTTATCAGGATGCAGTCACGAATCAGCAGTGTGCAAGCCTGGAGAATTTTCAACAACACCTTAAATGCATATTATAAAATGGATAGCTCCAGTCCTTGAATCTGATTGGCTGAGCTGCGTTTGAAGCCATTGTAAAATCCATAATATGCCCACAACACGACATGCAGAAGCCTTGTGCTGTTAATGAATAATCTTTGACTCTAATGCTGCTCACATGGAGCACCGAGTATAATGATGAAGTAAGAACCTGTATTTTTGTTTAAACTGAGGGGCTGACAACTTATGTTCTTAACTAGAACCAGGCTGATCAGCTAGCTAACAGCCTAAAAGAGCCAACAGCCTAAACAGCTCCATCATTAATATCACAGGCTTGAATTAAAGCACTTCCAGTACTATTAACAGTAAAACTGCAGTATTAAAGTCTGAAGAACCTAACTTGAATGTCTTACACGCTTCAGATGTTTAGGTTTCAGTCAGAAGTCGCGTCAAACCCAGGCTGAATCCCAAACGGCTCCGTACTCCCTAAATAGTGTTCTAGCTATGAAAGTTATGAAATTCTAGCCTCTACAGCCAAACAGTGCATCATTTATGGAGTGTGGATGTGGCTGAGTCCCAAATGACTGTTTCTTAACTGTATTTTGCTCTGTTGGGCTCTAGAATCCTCTAGAATTTAAACTCCTACGTAGTGCACTATGTAGGGAGCAGGGAGCCGTTTGAGATTCAGCCCCAGAATGATTTGTGCTAAATAAGACGCGTGGTGGTTCACACTTCGTTCACAACAGAAATTTAGGGTCCACTTCCCAGCCTCAGTCCTGGAGCACTGGGGATTTTAGTGTTTCTTCAGCTCGAGCTTAATCAGTTGAATCTGTTTAGAGCAGAGGAAAGACCAAAATAGTCCAGAACTGGAGCTACAGAACTATGATTAACTAAGATTAAATAACTGCAGGACTTGCACGGTGGACTGGATAGATAGAGTCTGAACAGTCTAAGTGGAGGCAGAGAGCTTTAATAGAGGATGTTAGTGGATTATCTTGTGGAACCTGAATTGTGGAAGTCTGACCAAAACTTGTGTTTTATAAGCAAGCATAGTCTGTGTTTACTCAATTTACCATCATTTTAAACCATTAAAATAATATTTATTTGTAATATAAAAAATGCAATAAGACAAAATACAGGGTGATTCAAACAGATTCATTCGATTTCCCATATTTTTACAACCGTGAGGTGCCTAGGAACCAATCACAATCCAATTGAAAGAGGGGGTCATAGAGTTTCTCACTGTCAGTGGAAGATGGCTCCCTTCAGTCTGAGAGGAGATGAGACCCCTGATCAGAAAGCGTTCTGCGTTCTCCACTTCAATAAGAGTGAATCAGTCATAACTGTGCAGCGTGATTTTCATGGGCAGTGAAGCTCCAACAGCTCAGAGCGTTCGTCGTTGGTTCCACAACACTGGATGATCTCCGAAATCGCACTGAAAGAGCCGTGAGTGCAGCGACACCCGACATGCTCAATCGAGTATGGGATGAGTTTGACTATGGCGTTGATGTTGTCTGTACAGCTGGAGGAGGTTCATACTGAGACCTTGAACAATTACATAATAAACTTTATGCTCATTCAAACCATTTACAGTTCACTGCATTGATCTGTAATGATTTACAAGTGAAATAAATCATTTTGACATCGGATTAATCTTTTTGAATCACTCTGTATTTCTATTATAGTATCTATTACAGTTTGAAGTGTTTGTTTTAAGTGTTGTTAGTTCCTAACTCTCAGAAGTCTAGAGTTATTATCATTGTCCAGTTTATATTTCATAACCACTGAATTAATTACATTGCTGAGAGTGCATATTAATTACGTAGTTATAACAATGATCTACATTTACAACAGATTAACATTCTATTTCAATAGATTCAACTCTGCATTTTTGACTTTTACTGTTTGTTTAAACTTTTTTGCAAAACAAAACAATAATGTTTCATCAAACTAATATAGTAATAAAACATCTCTTGCAGTTACAAACACAAATGTTTTATATTTAAGTTTAAAATCTGTGTCTTACACTTGTTGCAATGCTCTATGAGTCAGAAATAACTGTTATAAGACTAGCACATGACACTTCACTAGACATAACTATGTCTAAAGCTTAATATGATAGGTGTGTGTTATTACTGTTTAATAATAGCTTTATTAGCTATGGCCACTTTGGAAAGACCTGAACCAATTAGTGGAACTTTTGGTCAACTACACCTTATAAACACTTTAGTAATCACCTAGAAATATGACTTACCAACACCATAGTAACCACCAAAGAGACACCTAGAAATGCCCTAGCAACCTCCTGGAATACAATAGCAACTGCCCAGCAACACCCTAGCAACCACATGCAACATGATATCAACCACCTAGCAACAACTATGAGATAAAACAGTGACTAGCCACTTAAACGCTGGCAACCACATGGAATACCATAGCAACCACTTAGGAACCCATATTATTGATCATTTTTAATCTAACAATTTGATAAAGTATGTCAACGTTGTTAACGCTTCAAAACCCCAATCCATCTTTGGAAACTTCAAAACTTCACCTTCAGTAATGCACCTTTCTCCCAGTGAGGTATTCCATAAGCTAAAAGTATAAAGCCTTGCTAGCTCAAATTCATTCTCCACAATGTTATGATTAGATTAAGATTGAGTGACCCTTATTAGTCCCACAATGGGGAAATTTCACCTCCGCAATTTAACCCATCCATACAGTGGAACACCACATACACACTAGTGAAGACACACACTAGGGGGCAGTGAGCATACTTGCCCAGAGCGGTGGGCAGCCCTATCCACAGCACCCGGGGAGCAGTTAAGGGGTTAGGTGTCTTGCTCAAGGGCACCTCAGTCACATACTGTCGGTTTTGGGAATCGAACCAGCGACCTTCCGGTCACAAAGCTGGTTCCCTAACCTCCATGACTACCCAGTCGTGGGCTGTGTCGTTAGCTGAGTGAATTATCCCTTTAGTTACATTAGTGGAATACTTAAAGCCTCCGTTAGCTTGTATTTACAATCTGCAATCTTAGCGATATGATAGCATACCTTTCTGGCAGTGAGGTCCTCCATACGCTGAGTGCGTACAGTCACACACGTATCCACTGCTCTTCTCGATACAGCGGCCGCGGTTGTGGCACAGTTGGTTCTGGCTGCTGCAGTGACCCGGACAGCCCGAGCTGACCCCTGGAGTCATCTTTGCACGCTCATCAAGGTCTAGGGTCATTCCGTTTATATTTAATGCCCTGATACATCCCAGAAATCCCCTCTGCCTGGAGGCGGTTCCACCTACAGGGCAAAAAAAAACACAGTCTGACTCGCTCAGAGCACAATGACAACTTATTCACAAAGAGAAATGGTAATTGTGCAGTAATAAACAGCCATTTGTGATTTATTACTAGGTAATAACATGGTAGTTAACATGAATAAATGAAAAGGCTGCACTAGTAGCCTCTAGACAATACAAATACTGTGTAAATATGTCCACAGTGAATTTGTGAGCTCTAAGTGTTGAAACTTTAGTCTACAAAGCTCATTTTCATACATGATTCTATCAGATTTTATCAGCCCAGTGTAATTTTAAAACACCTCTTAGAGGCTTATAATGATTTCAGCAATTTTAGTTCAGCAAAGTCCAGTCACTGTGACATAACAAAAACGTTTCCTTGACACATTTTAGAGGGGAAACAGTAATTGTAGCTTTTAAAAGAAGATAAATAAATAAACAGCCCCAGAATCAGTTCTCTTTGCGATATTGGAAAGAAATAGTGTGATAATGAAAGAAGAAAGGAAGAATATCTGTGAAGGAAATGATTCAAGACAAATCTAATCTTAATTCACAGTCTGCAAAGCACAGCTGTTGAAAATTAGATCAGTCTGTCCCACAAGCAAGACGTAATGAAGAGATATAAAAAGAGCAACTAATTCCAGATGAATATTTGACAATATGATGCATCATAATTACACTTAGCGGTGATTATATTCTGACGTTTGCACTGCAGATCACAGCAAAGCCTATTAGTAAACAGCTGCCTGTTGACTTTTTGCTATTGATACCAGGACTAAACCTGAAGGCCGCTATGCTATATATACAGTCATGTGCAGAAGTTTGAGCACCGCCAGTCAAATGACACATCTTGCTGAAAATAAATGAACTTTTCTGCAAATCATAACAAGAAATAACGTCATTATATATCAAATCAGTCAAAGTTCATTGAGTTAAATAGGTGAGAATATATGAGAATGATGTTGTTAAACCTGGAGAAACTGGCAGAAGAGACAAGATATTATTGGCTACTGGCTCCCTTTATTTGCATATTGGGTCTCTGTGTTGTGTCTTTCCTCCTACACACCTAAAAAAGATGGTTCTTCAAGGGTTCTTTAGTAAAGACAATGTTCTATATAGATATAGATTATGCTTTAATGCTTCTTTGCATGGTGAAATGGTTCTTCAGATTTATGCAAAATGTGTTGTATGTGGTTCTTTATAGCATCAAAAAGTTCTTCTATCATATACAAGCTTGACATTGTAACAAAAGGAGAACCTTTTTGGTGCTGTATGTACCATTTTCAAAACGTTTCTGTGTAGAACCATATGCAACACGTTCTCCATCAATCTGAAGACCAATTTCAAAGAACCATTTCAGCATGCAGAATGCGTTCATTGATCTATTTATAACCACTGTCTCTATTAAAGAACACCTAAAGAACCATCTTTTAAGGATTGAGGCTCTTGGGTTCTTACTTACATCCTACATTTTGGTCAGATGCCTACACACTGAAAAATGAAGGTTCTTTAAGAGTTCCAGTACCAGGACTAAATCTGCAGACTGCTATGCCATATATTGCTGCTGTCGGTGGAAAACCTTGTGTCTCCATTTTTGTCGTTTTTCAGTTTTTGACATAATTTGAAAATGCCTGTTGCTCTTTACATTGTGTGTAAATTTCATGATGAACAGCCCAAACAAAATGGCCCAAAACGACTTGGAAAGATGTCTGGTTCCATTGACTTACGTTAAAAGTAAGGTATATTTTTTCCTTCTCCTGTAAAGTTATCATTTTGGAGATACGAGGTTTTCTCCCGACAACAGCGATATACAGTCATGTGCAGACGTTTGAGCACCGCCAGTCAAATGACACATCTTGCTGATTTTCTAAGTGAAAATAAATGAGCTTTTCTGCAAATTATGGTGCCGTCACTTTTGCACAGGCCGCATTTAACTTCATTAGATTAAATTAAGCAAATAAACAGTAATTGTGCATTAATATGTGCAGAATATACAGTCAGTGGTTCAGCTCCTCTGCGACTGTATCTCTCGGTCATCAACTCTTGTTACTGTGAAGGTTCTCGAGGGGAACTGGAGCTCCACCAAGCTGCTGCTTTTGTTAGCTTGGTTGCTCCGTGGTTCTCCTATGAACGTCTGTCCAGCCTGGTCTGCTGAAGCTGCTCAATGTTTTGCATTAAATGCCATTTAAAAGCTGTATTTGAACAAGAGTGCTACAATCAGCCTGTGCTACACTCTTAAAAAATGGTTCTTTAAGTGTTCTTTAGTAAAGGCAATGAGTCTATATAGAACCATGAACACTCAAAGAACCCTTTGAGCGCCTAAATGATTTTTTGCATGGTCGAATGGTTCTACTCAATGATTGAAACCCAGTTATATAGGGTCCTTCAAAGAACATTTGACATAGCACCAAAAAGAGTTGCAGCAAGAACCTTTTTTCAGGACTACATAGAACCTTTTTACTAATAAGGTACTATAGATCAACAGGTCAAACTTTAAAAGAGTAGTTAATGTGTTATTAAGGCATTGTTAATGCATTATTAATGTATTATTAGCATGTTAACAGATGAACAAGCTCAGATTTCTCTTGAAAAGGACATTAACCTGTGCTACGCTTAGTCTAGATTAGTGTTTTGGTAGTTCTTAGGTACAGTAATACTGTCCAATCACCTGCACGCCGGACTGGACAATAGACTGGAAGTGATGTTGACCTATCATAAAGCACACTGGAGTACGAAGAAAAGTGAGTGGGCGTGGCCTACCGATAAACAGCTGGCTGTTGAGCTGCAGGCGGTTGTGGCCGTCGGACGGCGCCTCCAGGAAGCGCAGGGGCAGCTGGTCCACCTGCAGCGACGCCTCCTTCACGTTCCTCTCCGCTCGGACGTAGTGCCACTGCTTATCGTTCAGCGGGACGTGGGACTTCACTGTCAGCACCACCGGCCCGTTCCCCACCTCAAACGCAAACATCACCACTGACGGACCTGAGTGGGGGTCGGGAAGAGGTTTAAAGGGATAGTTCAGTGAAAATTTCAGATTTACACCCCAAATGTACACTTTTAAATATATGTTAAATTAGTTGAAGTTCATTGAGTCAAACAGATGAAAATGATGTCATTCAGTCAGGAATCTTGAGACGTTTATCTCAATAAATGAGGTCTGTTGTACATAGAATAGGAGCTTTCCCACCTTACTCATATGTTTTGAAACTTTTCTGAATATTTTGCGAGTTTAAATGAGATCTTTTGAATCCACGCATTGAAACTTAGTTCAGTCTGTTGGTTGGAGAAGCTGGAGAAACTGGCAGAAGAGACAAGATGTTAGTGGCTAATGCCTCCCTTTATTTGCATATTGGGTGTGTCTTTCGCCATTTTTTTTATTTACTCTATTTGGTCGTCAAGGGTTCTTTAGTAAAAGTTTTATATGGAACCGTGAAGCCAGAGAACCATTTTGCATGCTTAAATAGTTCTTTGCATGGTGAAATTGTTGTTGTATATGCTTCTGTATAGCACTGAAAAAATTTCTTCTATTGTATACAAGCATGACATCAAAACAACACTTTTTGGTGCTATATAGAACCATTTTCAGAAAGGTTCTATATTGAACCATATACAGCATGTTCTCCATGTTCCTTGAGTGTTCATGTATCTATATGGAGCCACTGTCTTACGAAAGAACCATCTTTTTTTAAGAGTGTAGGCTCTGTGGTTTTTACTTACATTCTACATTTTGGTTAGTTTTCTACACACTTGAAAATGAAGGTTCTCCAAGAGTTCTTTAGTAAAGAAAATGGTTCTATAAAGGACCATGAACATTCAAAGAACCCTTTCTGGGTTTTTTGCATTGTGAAAAGATTCTTCAGATTGATTAAGAATGTGCTGTAGATGGTTCTATATAGAACCTTTTTTGAAAATGGTTCTATATAGCACCAAAAAGTGTTCTTCTATTGATACGATGTCAGGCATGTTACAATAGAAGAACCCTTCTTGATGCAAAATAGAACCCTTTTCAGAAACATTCTACATAAAACCCCATATAGAACCCTTTCATGATGTAAATGGTTCTTTGAGTTTTCATGGTTCTACATAGAACCATTTTCTTTACTAAAGAACCCTTGAAGAACCATCTTTTTAAGTGTGTAGCCTTGCAATTGTTGTCTATAAGACAGCATTTCCATCCTCTATTGCTGAGTTTGGTGCTAAACTGACCAGGCAGTGACCACTTTTAAACCTCCTTCTGGTCCGTTAAGACTGAAATGTGATAGATGATGACAAGTTTCACTAATTTTAGTAAATTAAGTTCAATTCCATTATTAGAAATCCTTTCCATCTAATTTTAGATAAAGAATGATTTTTTGAGTTTAGTCAAGAAGCCAAGACATGTTGTCTGAAGTAGTACTGGAGCTACAAGGCTAATGTAGCTAACAACTTGGCCCCAACCAATTAGCATAGCACAAAAGTCCTATAAACTGCATAACATGAACAGATCCAATCAGTTTTAGCTACTTGACATCGTTAGATAACATCATGTCATAAAATAACAGAAACAGTGTAAATTGGACTCCAATTCGCATAATCATCTAAGTGCCCCCACCGCCCCAAACGAACAACTTCATCTGCGTTCGTCAGTCCATGAGATCTCAGCGTGCGTCTCTACAGGAAAGCCTTATTAACTTCTCCAGTGTTTTCCTGTAAGTCAGGTTATCCTTGAACTCAGCAGGCACCTGGCAGATCCTTTCACTACTACACAATCCAACACAGCGCAACAATGTTTCATCCCTCTGACAGAGCCATTGTTTCCAGCTCCTGCCACAGCTGTTAATAACACAGCACAGCGCCTGAGTAATTGGACGGAGACACAGTCCTTGATGTTTTGGTTCTGTTTTCCGGCAAATTAAATTTGAAATGAAACGGTTTTCCTATTTGACTCTGTACGACCACTTTCAGTTCACATTTACAACTCATTTATGAAGCTGTTGAATCCATTAACCAGTTGTGCAAACATTTCATGTGCCTCTAAGGATGCAGTGGAGTCTGTAAATGTAATTCATCAGCCGTTTTTGGTGTCTAAAGCTTCTTCAGTTTGAGCACTGGAGCGACGAGGCTATTGTAGCTAGTAAGAGAAGCTTATATGCCACCAATTAGCATCTGGATGTGTCAAACCATGTGGAGTTCTTCAGTAATCTCTAATCTAATCTCTAATCTTGGCACGTGACTTTTGATATTCAGTCATATTTTTCTGTACGCTAAAAAAGCAAATTCAATACTTCGTTAAAATTGACTAGGAAGAAATTAATGTTTAACTACAAAAGTGTAAGTTGGCTTAACAAAGCTGACTAACATCACTAACAAGTTAAAGCATATGCAGAACACTGATGATTGCTTTTGAGAAATTAATTGGGTTCATATAATAATTCCCAGTAGTTGCTATGGTGTTGCAGTGAGATTGCTATGGTATTCCAGGTTGTTGTTAGGACATTCCTTGGTGGGTGTTAGGTAGTTGCTAAGATCTTGATGGGCTATGGTATCGCAGGTGGTTGCTAAGGTGTTGCTAGGCCACTGCAACCCAAGTGGCTGCTAAGGTGTTGCTAAGTTATTGCTATGGAATCCCAGGTGGCTGGTAAGGTGTTGCTTGGTCATTGCTATGGAATCCCAGGTGGTTGCTAAGGTGTTGCTCTGTCATTGCTATGGAATTCCAGGTGGTTGCTAAGGTGTTGCTAGGCCACTGCAACCCAGGTAGTTGTTAAGATGTTGCTAGGCCATTACAACCCAAGTGGTTGCTATGGTGTTGCTAAGTTATTGCTATGGAATCCCAGGTGGCTGGTAAGGTGTTACTTGGTCATTGCTATGGAATCCCAGGTGGTTGCTAAAGTGTTGCTTTGTCATTCTATTGAATACCAGGTAGTTGCTCAGGTGTTGCTAGGTCATTGCTACCCAGGTGGTTACTAAGATGTTTCTAGGCCACTGCATCCCAGGTGGTCACTAAGGTGTTGCTAGGCCATTGTAACATGGGTGGTTGCTAAGGTGTTGCTAGGTCATTGCACACCAGGTGGTTGCTAAGGTGTTGCAAGGTGTTGCAGTGTGTACTGATTAAGATAGAATAAGTATCAGTAGAATGACTCCTATATGGTTTCTTAATGTTTCAGGATGTTGAACATTCCCCCATTCATTGTTTGGGTCCTACACTATCTGAGCACTAACTCACAGATTACAGCTGTCAATACAAATGTAAAATTTACGCACCGCTCAGTTCCACCCGGATGAAGTCTTTGACTCCGAGATTCTCCAGGAACACTCCAGAAGGCGCTGTGGTTTTAAAGTAAAAGGAGATGTCCACGCTGAGCTCAGCCTGCAAAGTGGGGAAGTGGAGGTAGGATGACTCCTGATAGAACGATGCCGAATTCCACAGAAACCCTATAAGATGAAGAACAAAATGCTAATTAATGCTGTCCACTGAGATCCCAGCCACCAGATGGCAGTGTACACTACAGGCTTAAGTGAAGTTTGGGGACTCCTGGTGAAACTGCATGTTTTAACGATTGTCTAAGTGATAAGAAGTTACCACCACGTAAAACAGTTAAAGTAAACATGGCATTCCTGCAAAATTTTATGGATAATTCTAATTTTTTACTGAATTTAACACAGTAGAAAAACATGTGTGCACAAGTATTAGTTTCCTGTAGCCAGCTAACAATCTTACATTCTTGATTTAGCAATTTTTCACCACTTTTCTTTGCACAATTCTTCTAGTTCAGAAATATTCATGTCATCTTGCATGCAATAAAAGACTGAGGATGGAGACGACCATTCCAAAACCTTATTCTTTGGTTTCTTGAAGTAGGTCAAGGTTGATTTTGATGTATGTTTGGATCATTGTCTTGTTGCGCCCCGCTCCCCAGCTCGGCTGCCTGGGTCAAACGTGAGTTGTAGTCAAGCAGCCTCACTGCGGAACAGGAGGCGGCACCCAGGAGGCCGGGGTTGGGACTCACAGGACCATCCACCACTCCCTCGTTTTTCCACTCTCTCGCCATCCTTGTAGGGTTTTGTCCTCACTCAGGGTTTGGGCCCTGCCTTACTGCTGGCTCTCACGGCCATCATCAGGGCCTGGGGGACGGGCGTATGGCACAGCTACCTTCTGATCTCACTTTCATATTGATGATATTTGTACAACGACACTGCACAGTAGGCCAGTGCATCACTATTCTTGCGCCAGCCAAAACTTCCTGTAGGTCCCTGGCAGTGGGGTGGGGGTTTTGCTTTGCATACCTGACCAGTCTACCGTCAGTATTTTGCAGAGCCTTTTCTTCGTCTTCCAGATCTTGTCTTTAATGGCATCTCAGACATTGAAAATTGTAAACAGGAAGTGTTTAGAAATCTTTTGTAGTCTTCTCCTGCTTCATATGAGTATGTTTAGTTTTAGATCCTCAGTCAGCTGCTTGAGCTCAGTGCTGTTGAGTTTAAGAACAGTATTTTGAGACGTTTTAAGAGGTCATATAAATTTTGAAGCTCTGGAATTGTCCACATCTGACAGTGCACTTTTCAGGGATTCTTTTTTGCACTCTTTCTGCCCCTAGTGGACAAAAATTCTGCTGCACATTTATAGCACATTTGATTTCCCATATTGCTGCAGGTCACTATGCCCTAGCCGACGGGAGGAAAGAGAAAAGTCTGAAGAAAACATGAGTTGCATTTTAAGAGCAGCCTGCCAGGCAGTTACGTAAGGACAATGTCTGGACATCAGATATTAATAAACTATAAGAGACATAAAAAGCTCCAAGAAACATTTTACAGCTTGCTAATGATAAAGACGTCATTTAAGGCATCACAGGCTTTACAAGGAGGATAAATGTGTTCTCTTACTGTCGCCATAGCACTGTAGAGATCCGACTTTGTAAACAGCTTCTGAACCCGTCCGATTCGTATCTCCAACCACAATCTCCGTTACTGGCAGGTGATCCTTATAGGACAACAGTCCAGTATCATTCTCCCTGAAAGCACAATTCAAAATTAATAACTCACTCTAAATGATATAAACTGAGTCTGTTCTACAGTTTCTCATTAGGCTGAATGAATAACTGACTCTAAATGTAGGTATTGTGATATAAACCGAGTCTGTTCTATAGTTTCTCATTAGGCTGAATGAATAACCGACTCTAAATGTAGGTATTGTGATATAAACTGAGTCTGTTCTACAGTTTCTCATTAGGCTGAATGAATAACTGACTCTAAATGTAGGTATTGGGATATAAACTGAGTCTGTTCTACAGTTTCTCATTAGGCTGAATGAATAACCGACTCTAAATGTAGGTATTGTGATATAAACTGAGTCTGTTCTACAGTTTCTCATTAGGCTGAATGAATAACCGACTCTAAATGTAGGTATTGTGATATAAACAGAGTCTGTTCTACAGTTTCTCATTAGGCTGAATGAATAACCGACTCTAAATGTAGGTATTGTGATATAAACCGAGTCTGTTCTACAGTTTCTCATTAGGCTGAACGAATAACTGAATGAATGTCCTGTGTGTCAGTGTAATTGTGACTGCTCCTTTCTTAAATAATAAGCTGTCTTACTGAAATGGAACATGCCAGTGGATCCACAGCTCAGAGCTTTTACCATGAGTTCCTGTCTGCGTCACAGTTGCAGAAGTAGTTCATGTCGATGCAGTTTTCTGCCAGGCTGCAGGAGCACTGCTGAACTCCGGGCAGGAAACCACCCCAGTACGTTCTCCTCTCACCTCCTCTATCCAACCACCAGGACAAGGGGGTTCCATCTGAAACAAAAAACACAAACATAAACAGAAAACGGTCATATGTATCAGTGTCCACTTTTTTAGAAAACAGCTCGCTGGTGTACAGTTAGAGACTGTTGCTCATCTGTTGATGTTTGTGTTAGCCATCCTCCAGTCCTTCATCAATGGTCGACTTCTGACCACAGAGCCTCTCTTGTATGAATGCTTTTGGGTGGGTTTTGAGTAGCCAGTTAGTGGAAGCACAAGGTGGGCGTTTCTAATAAAGTGGCCAGTGAGTGGAACTACAAGATAGATGTTTCTAATAAAGTGGCCAGTGAGCAGAGGCACAATGTGGGTGTTTCCAATAAAGTGGCCAGTGAGTGGAAGCACAAGGAAGGTGTTTCCAATAAAGTGGCCAGTGAGTGGAAGCATTCAGTTCATTAGCAGCTAGTCTGGTCCTCTCGGTCAGCCTGCAGATGAGAATTCCAGTTGTTCTTCATGTGTAAGGCAATTACTGCAGCCTCGCTCATTATCTCCCAGCTTTAGCTCCACTTACTGACTGCAGAGAGCCTCACTTTCCTGCAGAACGTTTTCACTTCCCTCTGCTTTTCTGGAGGAAGCCTCGCTCGCTGTACTGTCTGAGGTTACAGAGACGTTTGGACCATCTGCCACTTGAACGCTGAGAGGACGTCTAAGATTAGATCATTGGGTTGATTTGGATGGTTCTAAAGAGAAAGGAGCTCATTAGCTGCAGATGTTGTGCCATTTCAGACATATTTACTGAACTGATTCCACTGATTTTACTGAAGTAGAGATATAAACACAAAGACTCTCTATAAACACCGACCAGCCATAACATTAACACCATCTCCCTGTTTCTCCACTCACTGTCCACTTTACCCACTCCACTGACCGCATAGTTTCACTCTGTAGTTCTACAGTTACAGTAGTTCACCCTGTTCTTCAGTGGTCAGGACCCCCATGGACTTTATTTCTTTATTTTTTTCTTTTTCCTTTCTTCCTTTCTTTTTCTTTCATCCTGCTTCTTTTTGTATTCATTATTTTCTTTTCACCTTTTCTTTTTCTTTTTTCACCTTTTCTCTTTCTTTGTTTCTTTTTTATATTTTTCTTTCTTTCTGTTTTCTCTCTTTCTTTCTCTTTCTTTCTTTCTTTCTTTCTTTCTTCTTTTTCCTTTCTTTCTTCCTTATCATTTCTTTTTCTTTCTTTCTTTCTTTCTTTCTTTTTTCCTTTCTTTCTTTCTTTCTTTCTTTCTTTCTTTCTTTCTTTCTTTTGTTCCTCATCATTTCTTACTTTCGTCCTTTTTTCCTTATCATTTCTTTCTTTCTTTCTTTTTTTTTATTATTGATTTTACTTTCTTTCTTCTTCTTTATTCATCCTTTTGATATCGTTTTCTTTTTTCTAGCTTTTTCATTTCTTTCTTCCTTTCTTCTTTATATTTATTCTTTTCTTTTTTCTTTCTTTTTTCTTTGTTTCTTTCCTTGTCTTTTTTCTTTTCTTTCTTTCTTTTTCTTTCTTTCTTTCTTTCTTTCTTTCTTTCCTTTTTCTTTCTTTCTTTCTTTCTTTCTTTCTTTCTTTCTTTCTTTCTTTCAGCAGCGTATCCACATGTCCTATCATGTTTCTGCACTGTTCACCTGATCTGGATGTAAATATCCTCAAGTTAAAGCTGAAAGTCACTTAGAGCTCATATTTCCTATTAAACTTCTACTCCAGCATGTTGTGGTAAACAGTTCAATAGTATCATCAGCCAACGTCCGAATATTTATGGATCTGACTGTATTTGTACGTTAAAAACTGGCCTCTCATAAGAGCCAAACATTCACCTCTTCATTACATAATCTCACCTGATTGGCCGATTAAGGAGTCTCACCTGATTGGCTGATTAAGGCGTCTCACCTGATTGGCTGATTAAGGCATCTCACCTGACTGTCTGATTAAGGTGTCTTACCTGATTGGCTGATTAAGGCGTCTCACCTGATTGGCTGATTAAGGCATCTCACCTGACTGTCTGATTAAGGTGTCTTACCTGATTGGCTGATTAAGGTGTCTCACCTGAATGGCTGATTAAGACATCTCACCTGATGGCTGATTAAGGTGTCTCACTTGATTGGCTGATTAAGACATCTCACCTGATTGGCTGATTAAGGTGTCTCACCTGAATGGCTGATTAAGACATCTCACCTGATTGGCTGATTAAGGTGTCTCACCTGAATGGCTGATTAAGACATCTCACCTGATTGGCTGATTAAGGTGTTTCACCTGATTGGCTGCTTAAGCCATCTCACCTGATTGGCTGCCTCTGCTGTGCTATTTGGCTGTGATGTGTATCAGGGTGTTATTCTGATGAGGATGTTATGAGACTCGATCTAATTACTCTGCTAATCAACAGGAAATGTTGAGAGTTATAGACTAAGTGTCCCTGAAATTGGTCATCAGTTAGCGGTGAGTAGAGTAAATTGGCATAGTAGGAAGTGGACGGGGTGAGTTAATCCTCACACTGACCACAGCTATTCCTACTGACTGCAGAGCTCCTGCTGCTGTTGGCTTAAAGCCAAAATGTCGCGTTGTAGGTCATCTCAGTGAGATGAGACAGAACTTTTATACCATTTAAAGTATAGATTAATACACAGTATAATAATGTGAGTCATTTCCCCATGCATTTGGTGAACTACCTCAGCTGATGATGTCATTGTGTGCTTAAAGCTGATTGGCCCTCTCAGCTTCTACACGGCTCTAAAACCTACACTTCTGTCTTTCTTTTCCTTCTCTCTCAGTCTTCTTTTCACTGTCTTTTTCTTTCTTGCTTGCTTTCTCTCTTTTATTTTCTTTGATTTTTTCTTTCTTTCAATTTTTTTCTTTTCTGATTCTTTCTTTCTTTTTCTTTTTTCTGCCTGTTTCTTTCTTTCTTTCTTTCTTTCCTTCCTTTTTCTCTTTCTTTTTCATATTTCCACCTCTCTCTTTCTTCCTTTCCTTCTTTCTTTCTTTCTTTCTTTCTTTCTTTCTCTTCTTTTTATTTTTTATGCCTTTCTTTTTCTTTCTGTCTTTCTTTCTTTCATTCATTCATTCATTCTTTCTTTCTTTCTTTCTTTCTTTCTCTTCGATTTTTTCTTTCTTTCGATTTTTTTTCTTTTCTGTTCTTTCTTTTTCTTTTTTCTGCCTGTTTCTTTCTTTCTTTCTTTCTTTATTTCTTTCTTTCTTCTTTTTCTGTTTCTTTCTTTTTCATTTCTCTGCCTGTTTCTTTTCTTTCTTTCTCTTTTTTCTTTTTTGTTTTTAGTTTGTTTCTTTCTTTCTTACTTGTTTCCCTTTTCCAGCCTTTTTATGTCGTTCTCACATCACTTTGTTCATCCCCTTTTCATTCCCCCATCCTTGCATTAAAAGCAGCTTTTTTAGTTTTTTTTTTTTAATTCCTCATTAAACATTAAACTCATTAAACTCCTGTGTGGTTTTCCTCTGGTTCACCCAGACTTCTTTTTTTCCTACCTTAACTTATTTACTTCTGTTTCTTTTCCCCTTCCTTTTTTTCTTCTCTCCTTCCTTTCTTCCTTCCTTCTTTACTTTCTTTCATTCTCACTGTATCATATATGAATTCAGTGACTCGTTTCCTACTAATATCATTTTATGACCTTTTTTCTTTCCTTTCATACACTAGTTTCCTTCAGTAAACACAAATCTGCTTATTTATTTACTTGTTCCCACTTATATATTAAGTATCTCAAATAACTGTGTAATTACACATGAATAGTTGATGCAACAACAATGTAACCACTGTTATTTCACTGTTACAAATGGATTACAGAAGCACAGTTTATGTAAGTACATATGTGTATCAACTTCAGTAGTTACAGTAATTATGACTTATGTTCTCTTGTGTAATTACACATGTGTAACAGGAGTTTCGGACAATAACAGGTGTCACACAATGCTACTTTGGTTACCACATCACATCACAAGCTTATTCAACGGCAAGAAAGTTGGCGTTTCCTGTGCAGATATGCTATTTCATAATGTAGATACATAAACAACATACATAAACAACTCTTGTTAGTCTTGCTACATATTCCACAAGTAATTACCCTGTTACACATGTGTAATTACATAAGAGATAATATGATAAAGTACATGAGTAAAAACTGGAACTAACACTCTGTATGTACAAGCTGTACAACTGTAACCCATCTGTAACAGTGAATACATTCTGAATAGTGACACTGTCGCTCTTTATGTATTATTAATGCATAACTACATAGTTATTAAATACAAATATCCATTTATTTACTCACTAAGTGACCATATGACCACAGAGATTCTAAAAGTGGGTTGGCATGTAAAAAATAAACAAATATTCCAAAGCCAAGCATAAAAACATCACTGAACCCCTTAAAATGCCTGCCACATTACATAATAAGGCTTATTACTCAGTAACTACATGGACTACAGTGCAAACTGGGTGAGCTATTCATAGGTTATAGAGGTGCGTAGTAAACCTTTGGACCTGCAGGTGGGTTTTCTGGCCAATTGGGGGGTTAATATGCTAAAAGCATTCTAGTAAATTTGTCCAAATTACCTCAAATCAGCCACTTTCAGTTTAGAATCAAAACAATTCAAAACAATAAAATGAGCAAATATTACAGAGGGCTGTAAAACAAACACACCGCCATCTAAAATCCATCCAAGTGTCGTTTATCACTGGAATTCGTCTATCAGCACATTTTCACTGCGTTCATTACAGACAGAGGGACGTTAAACAGAGACTCTGACTGTTTTCATGCTGCCAAACTCTGACAATCAGCTCTGACGAGAGCAGGTGGGCAGAAAAAACAGCCAAATATAAAGTGATTCACAGTTAAAGCACAAAACGATTCAACTGCACTCAAAATAAAAGCAAGCCAAGAGTCATCGAACCCTGAAACAATGAATCTGCTCCGATTCAGAGACGCTAGCAGTGAAGAGCCTGAAAGCACTCAGCTGCTCTCCACTCACCCACCAATTACACCCACAGCTGTCCGCACACTAATGACATCAACACTGTTAAAGCGATAGTTCAATAAAAAAAGAACTAACTGGGTAAATTTGTTCTTTGTGCTGAACTTTCGCTTTAAATATCACCTCTAAATATCATCTGAGCTCCTGTGCTCACAAAGCTTTACTTCACTGCCCTCAACACGGCCACTAAAGTACATGAACATGAGGAAGTCTGGGAAACCAATGTGGACAAAACATCGTCCAGTGAAATTTTATGTTGTAATATAAAAAATCATAAGCCTGTACATTTTACATTTATAACAAAGCTGTATTCTGTACAAGAAATAGATACGTAAAAAAAAATAAATAATAATGTAAAATAAAATAAAATTAAACTGTCATATAACTATTAAAAGTAATTGATATATAAACATTAATTTATATAAGTAAAAATATAATAATAATCATAATGGGCATGTCAACATGTCAAGTATATTGTTAAAAATAAATATAAAAAATAAAATAAAATAAAAAGTAATATATGTGCTGTACAGTATTACTTGAAAATGGAGTATCACTGTAAAAATGTCATATTTTTTTGCAAACAATAAAACACATTGTTAAATAAAATAAAAAATTACAAATAAAATAAAAAAATTTAAAAAAAGTTATAATAAAAGCTAAATAAATGAAAGTGACAAAAACAGCTCAATAAAATAAAAAATTAAAAATAGTGTCACATAACGATAAAAATAAATATGAAATAAAAAATAATAAGGAAATAAAGTTCTGGTTAAAAATGAATATAATTAAAATAAAATAAAAAAAGTCAAAATAAAAAAACAAAATAAAATTAATTCTAGTTTCCTCCATAAACAAACTGACTGATTATATTTTACACGTACATGTGAACACAGACTCACCCCAGGTGTTGAAGAGGCGGGACTTCCTGCAGCGGTAGAGCACTTCCTGCTGGCAGTGCTCTGCACGGTGCAGCAGTGTGCTGAGCTGCTGCAAGGTGGCGCTGTAGTTCAGCTTCATCACGTGGGGCTTCTGCAGAGATGAGCCTTTAACGGTGACCGTCGCGGAGCTGTTGTGACCCACCACCATCCAGACCTTCTCCTCTAAAGACACACAGACAGCAGTGTCTCTGATTCCGTCCACACAGTGACGTCATACACGCTTTGACTGAGTGTGCTTTCAGAAATGTCTGCTACTGCAGTGCTAAAGATGTCCAGTAGGGGGCAGCAGTGCACTGACAGTCAGGCTGAAGCCCAGCTGCAGAGCGCAGGGTTACTACACGACCGTAGTCGGTTCTCAGTCACTCATATCAGTGCCGTGTTTATTAGTCATGGATCTGGATTTTAAAGGTTTAACCAATAAGAACTGCTTTACTTTTTGCCCTCAAAGTTTTCGTTGAAGTTTGTTGTTTTATTTGCTTTTTGAATCGTTTAATTTGCATAATTTGGTATTTTTTATAAAGGAGAGCAGCAGTCAGAGCCTCACACAGACCAGACGACTGACCACACCTCCGAAATCAGTCTCTCTTCTGTCTCTCTCTCTCTTTCTTTCTCTCTTTCTTTCTTTCTGTCTTCTTTGTCTCTTGCCTCTCTTGCTTTCTCACTTTCTCTCTGTCTTTTTCTATTTCTTTCTTTCTTCTCTCCTTCCCTTTTCTCTTTCCCTCTCTCTCTTTTCTCTCCTTCAGCCCCCGCTCTCCCTTCTCTCTCTTTCATTTTTCTTTCCTCTTTATCTCTCTCTCTATCTATAAATATGACTCTTTGTATCTCTCTTCTCTCTTTTTCTTTCCTTCTCTTTTCTTTCTCTCTCTTTCTCACTTTCCTCTTTCTTCTCTCTCTTTCTCCCTAATTTTCTTTCTTTCTTTTTTCCTTCTTTATTTCTCTCTCCTTCATCTGTGCCTCTGTGTCTCTCTCTCTTTCCTTTTCTTCTTTCTTTCTTTCTTTCTTTTTTTCTGTCTTCTTTGTCTCTTGCCTCTCTTGCTTTCTCACTTTCTCTCTCCCTTTTTCTATTTCTTTCTTTCCTCTCTCCTGCTCTTTTCTTTCATTCCCTCTCTCTTTTTTCTCTCCTTCAGCCCCCTCTCTCCCTTCTCTCTCTTTCATCTTTTTCTTTCTTCTTCATCTCTCTCTCTTTCTCTCTCTTTACTCCCCTTTTCTTTTTCTCTCTTCCTCTCTATCTATAACTATGACTCCTTTGTCTCTCTATCTCTCTTCTCTCTTTTTCTTTCCCTCTCTCTTTTCTTTCTTTCTCTCTTTGCTCTCTTTCTCACTTTCCTTTCTTCTCTCTCTTTCTCTATCCCCTTTCTCTCTTTCTCCCTAAATTTCTTTCTTTCTTTCTTTTTTCCTTCTTCATTTCTCTCTCCTTCATCTGTGCCTCTGTGTCTCTCTCTCTCTTTCCTTTTCTTCTTTCTTTCTTTTTTTCTTTCTTTCTAGCCGCCTCTGCTTTCTCAGTTTTTCTCTTATTCTGTCCTCTCTCCTCATCTTCTCTCTTCTCTCTCTTTCGGCCCCCCCTTTCACCTTAATTATCTTTCTTTCATCATTTCTTTCTTCGTCATCTCTCTCTCTCTCTCTCGCTCATCCCCTCCTCTCTCTCTTCTTCTCTCTCTTTCCTCTCTTTCTCTTTGTATCTCCCACTCTCTTTTTTCTCTCTCTCACAATCCATATTTCCCTCTTCTCTATCTCTCTTTACTTTTTCCCCCATTTCTGTCTTTCTTTGTTTGTCTGTCAATCTTTTTCGTTCTTTCTTTCATTCTTTCTTTGCTCCTTTTCTACCTTTTACTCTCTCTTTCCTCCTCTTCTCTTTGCCTCTGCCTCTCTCTTTTCTCTCTCTCTCTCTCTCTCCTCTCTCTCCTCTCTCTCTCCCTCTCTCTCTCTCTCTCTCTCCTGTGTGGTTTATTTTGATTGACCTCAGTTAAAGACTGTTAGGAATCTATGTTCTAGTTTGTCCACATCAGTTCTGACCAGCAGTATAAAATCACTCTATGATTTTATTTGAGTAATTTGTGACGTGTAGCTGATTTAATCAGGTGGACAGGCTGAGTGGACAGTGCAGATCATAAACCTTCAGTCCAGAACACGTCAGTGTTCATAATCAGAGGAGCAGGCATTTTTTTATCACCTGAATTTGATGAACAGAAAAACCATTCTTTACATTTTGGCTGTTTTTGATGCCGAAACATAAACAGTGACCAGCGCAGACTCAGAGTGGAGGAAACAGGAAGTGAAGTGAGTGTTACTGTAAATCACTGTGTAACTGTGTAATTACAATGTGAGAATGAACACCAGAGCCAAGTGTAAACAGTGTGTGGTACTAAGGCTCTCCGATGTTCTCACTGCTTCCTCTGGCTTAGTGGGTCTTTTTCTGGAACGTTCTAAAGCCGACTGCCAACAGTACAGTGTGGGCCTGTTTGAGAACACTGGGCCTCATTCACCAGTATCCTCTTCAGTTTGTTCTTAAGTGTGTTGTTGAGAAAGGTCCTAAGAAACAGTCTGTGTCAGATTCATGACGTGTTCTTAAAGCGCAGAACTGTTCTCACCTTTGTGCTCTTGAGTGTGTGTAGGTTCTGTTCTTACCTAAGAACAAATCCCACATAAGAGAACACTGGTGAGTCAGAATCTTCGTGAAAACTGTGTTTAAGAAGAAATTTCAGCAAGACTTTCTATGAATACCATGTCTACAAACACATTCATAACATGGTATAAGCATTCATAAGGCATTATAAACATGGCTAGCAATATTTATAACAATGAACTACATTTTATAGCCATGTTTATTATGCATTACGAATTGTTAACATAATGCATTATAAGCAATGTTAATAACATGTTATATCGCCCTGTGCCAAAGGAGTCAGTGACCACTAGAACCCTTCACTGTGTCACATCACTACTGTGCACTACAGTAATGCTAATTTCTGCTAGCATTCAATTGGATATGCAATGTTATATAAGCTAACGGTGGTGTACATTGACTTTTCCTACACTGGCTAAAACACTACTGAGCAGCACTGGTTTAAACTCTGACAATTGAAGCTTGTGATCTGCTTTACTCTGTATGTTACTTACTTGACTTACAGCTGACAAACACAACTTATAAGCTCTTATAAGGTGTTATGAACACTACGTATAATGTATTAACAATTCATTATGCATAATAAGGCTATAAAGTGTAATAAAGTTTTATAGATACTTTATGATGCTTTATGAATGCATTATAACATGCTATGATCATGTTCATAGGTTCTTATAGACACGATATTCTGTTAACACTGATAAGTGTTACTGAAATTTCGGTAACACTTTCTATGAATGTCACCTTTGTAAGCATCTATAAACACAGTCATAACATGTTATAATGCACTCGTAAGACATTATAAACATAACTATAAATATTTATAAAAATGCAATATACGTTATAGCCATGTTTATTATGTATTATGAATTGTTAACATAATACATTATAAGTACTGATCATAACAAATTATAAGAGCTCATAAGTGGTATTTGTCCGCTCTAAGTAAAGTGAAGCGTACTGTACTAAAGCCTCCTCCAGTGTTCAGAGTGAGGCTTCAAGTTGAAGTATTTACTGAAGGATTTACTGAAACACTAAAACATTCACAGTAAAGCACATTACAGGCTTCAAATGTCAGAGTTTAAACTAGAGCTGCCATCCGTGTTTTACCCAATGTGGGAATATGTTATAAATGTCTTTATAGATGCTTACAAAGGTGACATTCACAGAAAGTCTTACCGAAATTTCTTCTTAAAAACAGTTACTGAATGAGGCCCATTGCTTGATTTGCCTTGAAATTCAATTCACCGTCAGTCACCGTAATATATATAGATGTAAAGAATATAATATATATGTAAAGAACTTAACATATTTTAATAAAATAATAAAAAGCATAAGTAAACTAAAAGATACACAAATAAAATAATATTCAGTATTAATAAAATAATACAATGAAGTAACATAAATCACACCAAAGCAATTCTGAAATGACTAAGAAATGCATATTCTTGTAAGCACATTGAATAATAAGATAAAGATATAAAAATTATATTTTAAAAGAAAATAAATTTCAATTCTGATCTCACTAAAGTTCACTGGGTGGATTTGTTTTTCCTCAGAACTGTCACTCCAGGAGTGTAAACACACAGAGAAATAAGCAGAACACTGCCACCATCAGCGGCGTGCTGACCCATGAGTGATTCCCCCCGAGTCCTAAAGCTTATGTGTACATTGCTCACCGGTCATGTTGCAGTAGACGACGGTGGGCTTGAGTGGACCACTGCCGTCTGGATCGATGGAGAAGAATCCCGAGGCGCTTCCTGTCAGCCGGTGAGCCTCACACGATGGTTCAAAGATGGCTAAACGGGTAAAAAACAGAGTCAGAGCAGAAATCAGGGCTTGGTCATTTTGAGCTACAATAAAAATACAATACTGGACCTCATGAAAGCACACATGCCCCGGCCACTTTATCAGAAACACCTCCCTTAGAGCTCCACCTTGCTGATGTACCGTTAGAGAGAGCAGCGCAGCTGTTTCTGTTAGTCACCCTAGACCTTCATCAACGGTCAGCTATGTAGCAACAGACGGGCCGACGTCTGTAAGTGTACAACTACACAGTGGAAATATAAGGTGTTCTAATAAAGTGGCCAGTGAGTGGACGTACAAGGTAAGTGTTGCTAATAAAGTGGCCAGTTAGTGAAAGCACAAAGAAGGTGTTTCTGATAAAGTGGCCAGTTAGTGGGGGCACATGGGTTGGTGTTTCTAATAAATTGGCCAGTTAGTAGAACTACAAGGTGGGTGTTTCTAATAAATTGGCCAGTTAGTAGAACTACAAGTTGGTTGTTTCTAATAAAGTGGCCAGTTAGTAAAAGAACAAAGGAGGTGTTTCCGATAAAGTGGCCAGTTAGTGGAAGAATAAGGTCGGTGTTTCTAATAAAGTGGCCAGTTAGTAGAACTACAAGGTGGGTGTTTCTAATAAATTGGCCAGTTAGTAGAACTACAAGTTGGTTGTTTCTAATAAAGTTGCCAGTTAGTAAAAGAACAAAGGAGGTGTTTCCGATAAAGTGGCCAGTTAGTGGAAGAATAAGGTCGGTGTTTCTAATAAAGTGGCCAGTTAGTAGAACTACATGGTAGGTGTTTCTAATAAAGTGGCCAGTTAGTAAAATTACAAGGTCAGTGTTTCTAATAAAGTGGCCAGTTAGTGGAGGAACGAGGTAGGTGTTTTTTTTATAAAGTGGCCGGTTGGTGGGAGACTAAGGTAGGTGTTTCTAATAAAGTGGCCAGTTTGTGGAAGAATAAGGCAGATGTTTCTAATAAAGTGGCTAGTTATTGGAAGCACAAGGTAGGTGTTTCTAATAAAGTGGCCAGTTAGTGGAAGTAGAAGGTTGGTGTTTCTAATAAAGTGGCCAGTTAGTGGAAGTAGAAGGTGGGTGTTTCTAATAAAGTGGCCAGTTAGTGGAAGCACAAGGTAGGTGTTTCTAATAAAGTGGCCAGTTAGTGGAAGTAGAAGGTTGGTGTTTCTAATAAAGTGGCCAGTTAGTGGAAGTAGAAGGTGGGTGTTTCTAATAAAGTGGCCAGTTAGTGGAAGCACAAGGTAGGTATTTCTAATGAAGTGGCCAGTTAGTGGAAGTAGAAGGTGGGTGTTTCTAATAAAGTGGCCAGTTATTGGAAGCACAAGGTAGGTGTTTCTAATAAAGTGGCCAGTTAGTGGAAGTAGACGGTGGGTGTTTCTAATAAAGTGGCCAGTCAGTGGAAGTAGAAGGTGGGTGTTTCTAATAAAGTGGCCAGTCAGTGGAAGTAGAAGGTGGGTGTTTCTAATAAAGTGGCCAGTTAGCGTATTTTCCCTGTGTATTCTAACAGTGCTCTGTGCAGAGCGGGTGGCCTCTGGAGACTCTGCCCTGCAGATATTTGTGTTTTCCTGCTCTAACAAACCTGACTCAGGTCATCTGCTTTGAAGCCCCTCGTGTGCTGAGATGTGTGTGTAGGAAGAGACCTAACAACTGATTCGAGCCACTGTTTCAAAGCTTTGATCTTCTCCGGTCTCATGGGGTTAGACGTGATCTCATCAGGAGAATGTACAGCTGTGGACAACTTACTCTAAAACTCGCCCCTAAATTCCTTTAGTTCATGCTCACATAATGTCCAGAGTACAATCAGTAACACAGGACAAACAAGCTAGCAACCTGAACGTAAGAGGTAATGGCTATTTTTCCTGCATGTAAATGTTCTCCACACCAGAGTCCAGTCATGCTAACTTATATTACATCCATGCGCGAATGTCAGTTGTTGTTCATTGGTCAACGTTGATGAGCGCACTGTCGACCCCTACTTTGAGCTCTGCCTTTATGAGGTGTTGGATTGGTTGTGAAATCGATTTCTTCTCTCTAATAAGTCAACATTCCCACCATCATTTGGCCCAAAGATTCTCCTGCTTGTCAGAAGGTTAACCCTTGTAGGTCTTCCATGGTGTTTATACCTTGGAACACCTCTTAATACATTTTATTTCATTGTTTCTGATCTTAAAACAATAAAATTTTAATTTGTGGAAAGTGTATATTCTAATTTTTCAATTCAATACCACACTTGTGCTTGAAAATAGAAGAGGAAATATTTATTCGTGACTTCAATTTGATGCAAAGTTGCCGATGTATTTGCAGTGATGTTTTGCCGTCATTGCATTTTTGCTGTTTTTGTCATTTTACACCGAAACACTATGCGTTAATGACACAATCACGTACCTGCCTTTGTAATTGTTTAATGTATACTGAGCAAACAGAACAACAACAATTTTCTACAATAAATAGATCAACCATATTTTGCATGTTTGAGACAGACGTGTTTCAGTAATGATAAGGGGGCAGAGGTTTTACAGACCAGTCCACTTTACTGCTCGGCGGTGTCGCTTTAATCTTGATGACGACTAGTTGCTGATGACGTGTTTATGGCACTGACAACATGGTCGCCTTAGAGAAGACAACAGGTGAGGAGTCGCTGGAAAGTGCACGTCAAGTGCTCTACTGGCCTGTAGAGTTCGGCTTCGTTCTAACTTTTCTCCGCTGATCTACAGAGCTTCAAAGATCAGACATCAAACGTTGTTTTCTCTGTTTTTTCTAAGTTTCTCTGGCTCTCTGAACCTCCACCACGGCTGACCGTCTCGGCAAGGCTGCCTAGGGTGCGCCTAAGTCGGGTATAAATTAGCGAGATTTCGGGGTCTATTTCTCTAGCTCCCCGAGGGCTAGCAATGCGATCCAGGGCTCGATGGAAAGGGCACGTCATGCTCTACTGACCTATAGAGCTCGGATTCGTCTTTAATTTTAAAAGTCAGCTTGTTGCAAACATTCCCTTCTCCCTGATCCACTCATACCAGCACAACACACAACCACCAGTGTCACTGCAGTGCTGAAAATGACCCACCACCCAAATAGTACCTGCTCTGTGAGGGTCCATGGGGGTCCTGACCACTGAAGAACAGGGTAAAAGGGGGCTAACAAAGTATCAGAGAAACAGATGGGCTACAGTCTGTAACTGTAGAACTACAAAGTGCACCTATATAGTAAGTGGAGCTGATAAAATGGACAATGAGCGTAGAAACGAGGAGGTGGTCAGAATGTTATGCCTGACCGGTGTATATCAAGGGCTTAATTTGTAAACGACGATGGCCCTCAAACCTAAGGTGTTATAACTCCGTCAGGTCGACAGGATGGGGGAGGTCCCGGAACAAAAACAGGATTAAAGTGTGTTAATATGGTGGATCTGACACCCAGCGCAGTGCGAGGTTCTGCCATGTGGATATCACCTCTAACAAGCGTGTTAATGAGGTTCTCAAGTATCAAACTTTCTCATTACGTAAGTGAAACAGCTTCTAACATGTGAGTGGCTAATAAAACCGGTGGTTTCGCTCGGCACGAATAAAATCTTTAGAGAGATGATCAGTCGCAGCAGTGGTGGCGCATTCGCGGGTGATAAACAGTGTCAGTGTTGTTTTTATCACTGTGTCTATAGCTGTGCAACCCAAATTGGAGTTGAAAGGGAAAATGTATCCATCCCACAGCGCTGCTTTTTAGTGACCCTTTTCACATTTTGTTATCTTATATACAATTGTGTGGAAAAGTTTTGGCACCCCTGGTCAAATAACATGTTTTTCTAAGTGAAAAAAAATATGTTATTACAACCTCTACAGAGAAAACACTCAAAAGTGACATTTTTCTGCAGGCTTCAGTTCACAATTATTGGAAGAAAATGAAACATGTATAAATGGTGCCATAAGTTTTGGACAGGGAAAATTTTATACTTTATTTTTTTCCCAATATGGTAAATTCAGCAAATAAACAGTTTAAACAATTAAACCCTTAAAATTCCAGGCTTATTACAAACTAAGGCTTATTACTCAGCAACTACAGTGACCTTAATGCAAGGTGACTGAGCTAATAAAGTGGCCAGTTCGGGGAAGTGCAAGGTGGGCATTTCTAATAAAGTGGCCAGTTAGTGAAAGTGCAAGGTGGGCATTTCTAATAAACTGGCCATTTAGTGGAAGCACAAGGTGGGCATTTCTAATAAAGTGGCCGGTTAGTGGAAGCACAAGGTTGTTGTTTCTAATAAAGTGGCAAGAAAGCGCATGGTTGGTGTTTCTAATAAAGTGGCCGGTCAGTTGAATCACAAGATGGGTGTTTCTGATAAAGTGGCCAGTTAGTGGAAGTAGAAGGTGGGTGTTTCTAATAAAGTGGCCAGTCAGTTGAAGTACAAGGTGGGTGTTTCTAATAAAGTGGCCAGTTGGTGGAAGTACAAGGTGCGTGTTTCTAATAAAGTGGCCAGTCAGTTGAAGTACAAGGTGGGTGTTTCTGATAAAGTGGCCAGTTAGTGGAAGTACAAAGTAGGTGTTTCTAATAAAGTGGCCAGTTAGTGAAAGTACAAGGTGCGTGTTTCTAATAAAGTGGCCAGTTAGTGGAAGTACAAGTTGCATGTTTCTAATAAAGTGGCCAGTTAGTGAAAGTACATGGTGGGTGTTTCCAAAAAAGTAGTCACTTGCTGAATGTACGAGGCAGATGATTCTAATAAAACAGTAATAAACAATTGATTCCTTCAATTAATTTTCTAATAAACAGTTCATTGGACCAGGGGTGCTCCAAATTTGCATGCCACTGTAAATATTAAGTTAATTGCAGAAAATAGTAAGATTTTTCTCTATACATCTCCAAGATTGTTGCATAAATTGATTTAATATACGAGCACAGTGATTCATTAAAATACACACAGCATGCAGATTTAGCAAATATGAAGACCAGGAAATGTCTATTTTAAAGGGACAGGAACAAAAAACAGCCTGTTTCATTCTAAAGCAACAAGGAAGGTTGGAAAATAGTCATCTAAAAATGAAGTATGACTGTTTTATTGTTACATAAAACCACCATTAGTGAACCACAGTGAAAGGCTTAAATGTCACACTATGACTTGGATCAGATCTGCTGGAGCAGAGCACACAGGGTCCCCAGGACTGGGAAAGAGAAACACTGCATTATAGATTCTGTGAATGTGAGGGGAAACATTGTTCTAGATGTCTGTGTTGTCTCAGTGTTTGTTATTTTTACTCACAGTTATGACAGGTAGCTCCAGTGTAGCCCGTCCCTGAGCAGTCACAGTGGAAGTTGCTCCAGGACTGTGAGCACTCGCCATCGTGTTCACAGTAATTGGGCAAACACCTGCGGATAACATATTCAGACAAACGAACAGTCAGGTACACCACAAAAACATCGCCCTAATGGTGGTTATATATGAAAACTAAACACAGCAGCTTAAACAGCAAAATCTATTATAGCTTATACTGTATAATAACACAGAAAACAGCCAAATGATCACAAAGGAAGAAATATAAATTTCACATACTAAAAAGTCAAATGGAGTTAAATAATAAAGAGACAAACTGTGTTAAAGCATCTTCCACTAAGTGGCCACTTTATTAGAAATACCTACCTTGTGGTCCCACTAACTGGCCACTTTACTAGAAACACCTACCTTGTACGTCCACTAATTGGCCACTTACTTGGAAACATCTACCTTGTGCTTCCACTAACTGGACACTTTATTAGAATCATCTGCCTTGTGCTTCCACTAACTGGACAATTTATTAGAAACACCTACCTTGTGGTCCCACTAACTGGCCACTTTACTAGAATCACCTACCTTGTGCTTTCTCTCACTGGCCACTTTATTAGAAACACCTGCCTTGTGCTTTCTCTTACTGGCCACTTTATTAGAATCACCTGCCTTGTGCTTCCACTAACTGGCCACTTTATTGGAAACACCTACCTTGTGGTCCCACTAACTGGCCACTTTATTACAATCACCTACCTTGTGCTTCCACTAACTGGCCACTTTATTAGAATCACCTGCCTTGTGCTTCCACTAACTGGCCACTTTATTAGAATCACCTGCCTTGTACTTCCACTAACTGGACATTTTATTAGAAACCCCTACCCTTACACCAACAGATGGTCTACAGTCTCTAACACCAGCGAAATGGAGCTACAAGTCAGAGGTTTCTGGTCTGCACTCCCAGCTCTGTAATGTTGCTAACACAGCAGAATGTAACTAAGTGAAGCCTACGTGCTTGTGAAGCATGAAGAGTCAAAACCCATAACATAACTCACCCAGCAAAGAGTCAAACATGATTACTGTATCACATCAATCTTGCAAATCGAATTACAGTTACGGCAGTGTGTTGTAGCTGATTTAATACCAGATTCCTGCTGGTGATTAAACCCTGATTACTGTAAGGAGAGCAGCTAGCTATGCAAACGCTGGAAGGATGTAAAAGAAAAGCCATATTTCAGAACAAGCAGCAGTTATCCTGTCGTTTTGGAATACTGCAGTGTTTTTCAGCCTAATCTCCATCAGCTGTGACTGTAGTGTATGACTGATTACCATGGACAGTCATTTTAATTCCCTTCCCTTCAGTTAGAAAAAGACTGATATGAAACACACATATAATAGAAGCTAATGGGCCGATGCTGCATAAACATTTGGGCAAAACACATAGTTTTCACTCCAAAGTATTTGCATATTAAGCTGTAAACCTGTAGATTGTTCTTTTAGATATGGGATTATTTTTCCAAATGAATCTGTGGTAATTTGTTGCCATGGTAATGATAGGGAAAAACAAGGAAAGTGAAGGTAGATTCAAATTTTATTTTTAAAGAACAGCTTTGGCAAGACGTTCAGTCTGTGTTTTCCCAACATCTGTACTGTTAGAGTGGAATTTGGTCCCGAAAAACAAAAACATAAATAAAGTATGTTTAAATGGTGCATCTCACGCCCAGCGTGAGGTTTTGCCATAACATGGATATCACCTCTAGCAAGCATGTTAATGAGGTTCTCAATATTCCAGGTTTATTTCATACTAAGGCTTATTATTCAGCAACTACAGAAACTTCAATGCAAACTAGTGGAGCTATTCTTAGGTTATAGAAGTGTGTAATAAAGCAATAAGCCACATGAGGCTGTGCATTACTGTGATTTTATCACAGAGAAGAGTGTTGTTAGGCACGATGCAAAGTGGAGTAAAACTCTCTTCCCAGTGATAACATCACTGTAATGCACAGCCTCAAGGGGCTTATTGCTTTTATAAAACAGTGGCCAACATAAACTATAATAAATACACAATTTTTCAGAAACCAATTTAAGTTATTATTAATAATAGATACAAACAAGTATTCCACCAAGGAATGTAGCTCCTTTAGAGTATGGTATCACTGCCATGGACCACTGAATCAGCAGAACATTCAGATGCCCATCGCTGTACACCGTATTTTTGACCATATAATAACACAGCACTGTTTAATGTAGAAACTTTCACTTTATAAATGCATTTTGGTCACAAAATTACCACTGTGAGTCTTATTTAGCATCAGTCCAGCAGCGCCCCCTTCTCACGCTGGGGCTGGTGGGTGTTTCTAATAAAGTGGCCAGTTAGAGGAAGCACAAGGTGGGTGTTTTCAAAAAAGTGGCCAGTTAATGGAAGTATAAGGTAGGTGTTTCTAATAAAGTGGCCAGTTAGTGGAAATACAATGTAGGTGTTTCTAAAAAAGTGGCCAGTTAGTAGAAGTAAAAGGTAGGTGTTTCTAATAAAGTGGCCAGTTAGTGGAAGTTAGCATCTGACCATTGGCTTGTATTACAAATGAATTCTGAGTCGATGAATTTTCTATTTTTTGTGAAAAAAAAGTTCATTTAAAGTCCTGCATACTCTCTCTCTCTCTCTCTCTCGCTCTCTCTCTCTCTCGCTCTCTCTCTCTCTCTCTCTCTCTCACTCTCTCAGTAGTGATGTGTGTGTATAATCTGATACAGAAGGAAAGAGAAGCTCTGGCCGTTCCAGCTGACTGCCTGCAGTCTATACAGCGTTCATCATATTAACTGTGTGTCAATAACTCTTCTCCCAGTGACCCCCCCTTCGCCTCCGCCCCCCACCCCCTCGCTCTGAGTCAGAATAGACTGAGGGTTTGTGATACCGGACTTTATGAAAGAGCTTCACTGCATTGAGCCTGTACAGTATAGCTCAGAGTCAGCACCACGGACAGCACCCATCACCGCAACCCCACACAGGAAAGCAGGACTGGAGCTACTTATGAACTTTATTTACTAATACATCTACTTTATATCACACCAAGTCCAAAAAAGTCGGGACGGGGCAATGTAAGATTGGGAGGTTTGTGAAATGATCAGAACACCTGTTTTACACATGTAAAAGTGTGAACAGGTAACAGGTGATGCTGTCATGATTGGGTAAACAAGCAGCGTTTACAAAAAGATCAGTAGTGACTTTGCAAGAAACTGAGTGAGCAAATCAGCCCAGTAGTTAAAGAAGAACAATAATGACTGCAAGAAATATGGGATTTCACCATTTGTAGTCCATAACAAGATTCAGAAAATCCAGGGAAATCTCTGTGCAAGTCTAAAAAACAACAATGAATGGCCTTCAACCACTCAGATGGAGCTGCATTAAAAAAAAGAAAATATTTCTGTAATGTATGTAACCACATGGGCTTGGAAATACTTCAGAAAACCCTCACAGTTCGTCGCTGCATCTACAAATGCAAGTTAAGACCCTACTACGCAAAGCAGAAACCATATAACAACAACATGCAGAAACACCGCCGACTTCTCTGGGCTAAAGCTCATCTGAAATGGACTGACACGCAGTGGAAATGTATGCTGTGGTGTGACGAGTCCACCTTTCAATGTGTTTTTGGAAGTAATGGATGTCATGTTCTTGGACCAAAGAGCAAAAGGATCATCCAGACTGTTACCAGTGTAACGTTCAGAATCCAAAATCTGTCAGGGTACAGGGGGGTGTTAGTGGGTAACATGCACATCTGTGAAGACATCATTAATGCTGAGCAGCACAAACACATTGTGGAGCAACATATGCTGCCATCTAGATGACGTCTTTTTCAGGGACATTCCTGTTTGTTCCAGCAAGACAATGGTCAGCCACATTCTGCATGAGTAACTTTGTAGTAAGAGAGAGCAGGTCCTACTAAAAACGTGGCACATTATGAAGCGCAATATACAACAATGAAGACGCTGGACAGCAGCTGAAGTGGAAAAAAGAATGGAAAACGAATGGAATCGGAAAAAATCAGCGTAGGAAAGTAGGAAAGTAAGAAAATAAAAGAAAGAAATGAGAGAAAGAGAATGTAAAAAGTAGGAAAGTGGAAAACTGTGGGAGAGACAGAAAAGAGAGAGAAGTGAGAGACGGAAAAAGAGAGAGAAGAGAGAAAGACAGCAGCGAAAGAAAAAGTGAGTGAGAGAGAGAAAGAGCAAGCAAGGAAGACAAAGAGAGAAAGAGAACTGAAAAATAGAGAGGAGAGACAGAGGGAGGAAAGAGAGAAACAGAGAAAGAGAGAGGAAAAAAAGGAAAGAAAGAGAAAAGAGAGAGGGAAGAGCGTATAGAGGAAGAGAGAGGAAGAAAAGGAAAGAAAGAAAAGGGAGAGAGAGAAGAAAGGAGAGCAAATAGAAAAGAGAGACAGAAAAGAGAGAGAGAGAAGAAAGAGTGAGAGAAAGAAAAGAGAGAGAAAGGAGAGCGAGAAAGATAAAGAGGGAGAGAGTGAGAGAGAGAAAGAGAGAGGAAAAAGGATAAAAAAGAAAGAGAAAAGAAGGAAAAAGAGAGAAGCTGAGAAAGAGATAGAGAGAGAGAAAAGAAAATGAAAAGAGAGAGAGAGAGAAATGAGAGAGGGAGAAGAGAGAATGATGAGAGAGAAGAGAGAGAAGAGAGAGAGAAAGATAGAAAGAGATGAGAGGAAAAGTACGAGAGAGAGAGAGAGAGAGAGAGAGAGAGAGAGAGAGAGAGAGAAAAGAAAGAGAGAGAGAGATAGAAAGGGTAAGATAGAGAGAGCAAGACTCAAACTTGTCTTGCCTGACCATCTATATGTTTGGTAACGAGGGGGACTGTATGGCTTCTGGGGGATGTGTGTGTATATGAGGTTTTGGGGGGATGTGTGTGTGGTGGGGGGCTTCTGGGGGATGTGTGTGTATATGAGGTTTTGGGGGGATGTGTGTGTGGTGGGGGGGCTTCTGGGGGATGTGTGTGTATATGAGGTTTTGGGGGGATGTGTGTGTGGGGGGGGCTTCTGGGGGATGTGTGTGTGTGAGGTTTTCAGGAGCTGAGTCCTCTGGCTGTTGGCCAAGTTGGCATCGATCAGGCCAA